ATACTCTGGACGTGTTATCAGGAGGGATCAGTCCCTGGAGAAGGACATCATACTTGGTAAAGTAGAGGGTCAGTGAAAAAGAGGAAGACCCTTAATGAGACAGACTGACACAGTGGCTAATGTGCTCAATGTGCTCAAGCCTAACAACAATTGTGAGGATGATGCAGGACTGGGCGGTGTTTCGTTCTGTTGTACGTAGGGTCGCTGTGAGTCGGAACCGATTCGACGGCACCTAACAACAATGACAGAATTTTCTATAATACAATGTCAATAAAATTTCAGCTAAAAGAAGAACTAGGTAGTGCCTGGCTACCACAAATGACTGCCCTGACTGGGAACACAACAGAGAGTCCCGAATGGAGCAGGAGAAAGGTGGTGCAGAACTCAAATTCTAGTAAGAAGACCAGACTTAATGGTCTGACTGAGACTGGAGGAACCCTGGAAAGCACAGCCCCTGGATTCTCTATCAGCCCAGAACTAAAACAATTTCCAAGGCCAACGCTTCAGACAGGGATTGGACTGGACCGTGGGACATAAAGTGATACTCGTGAGGACTGTGTCTCTTAGCTCAAGTAGATACAAGAGACTAAAGGGGCAGCTCCTGTCCGGAGGTGAGATGGGAAGGCAAAGAGGGTTAGGAGCTGGTTGAATGGACATGGGGAATCAGGGGTAGAAAGGAGGAGTGTGCTGTCACAGTATGGGTAGAGCACATAACAATGTATGTATAAATTTTTATATAGGAGACTAACTTGAAATGTAAACTTCATTTAAGCTACAATAGTAAAAATAAAAAATTTCAGCTAAAATCCCATGTTTATATCATACAGAATTACTGGCTATTTTGAAGAACAAAGATTGTTAAATGTTGGTTATCTACTATATTATACACAAGCTAGGTCATACATTACTCCAGCTATTTATACTGCATTATTTTCTGAAACTCTGGGATCTACCTGAATGACTGAAAATAATAATGGAAACAAGCAAACTGGAGTAATTTACAAAGTCCTATATAAGCTCACTATCTGCAATTATGTGCTACTTTTGTAAAAGTGTTACTAAAAATTGACTTGGCATGTTGGGATATCCAAATAATCTGTATTTATTTATCTTCTCAACAAATATCTCAAAAAATAACCTACTTTTCGGGGCTTTTAAATAATTATTTTACGGTTATGAACTGAATCAAAATGGATTTGATGCACGGATATGGTCGCCTGAAGTCCCCAAATTACTACGCTGCCTGTTATTTACCTTAAATGTTTTACAACAACAAAAGCAACAAATGTACTTTCTTGAACATAATTAAATCAGTCTCCCCCCTTATGAACAAAACTGCACCCTGTCAACTGCTGCACGAAGCCCCTCACGCTGGTTAGGAGACCACGGGAGCTGTTCAAAGACGCCTTTTCTGGCTTCTCTTTCTGCCCCAGCCCAAGAACACTGGCCATTTGCTCGTATAGAAAACAGCAGTCACATACAGGGGGAAGTTACTTTTGCCCTCCAGGATGAGAATTAGCTTCCTTCAGTATAAAACAGCAGACTTCAAGGCTGAGAAACAAAGTGTTGTTAGCTGCTGTCAAGCCCCACAGCAGAAGAACATGCTGCCTGATCCTGTGCCATCCCCCTGATCGGCTGTAGATTGAACTGCTGTGATCCATAGGATTTTCAGTGGCTCATTTTCAGAAGTAGATCGCCAGGCTTTCTTCCCAGTCCATCTTAGTCTGGAAGCTCCACTGAAACCTGTTCAGTATCATAGCAACACATAAGCCTTCACTGATAAGACAGGTGGTGGCTGTGCCTGAGATGCAGTGCGCAGGAATCGAACCCAGGTCTCTGGCATGGGAGGTGAGAATCCTACCAGTGAACCACCAAGCTTCAGTATCAAACATCACACTTCAAGGTGGCAAAGCAAAGCAGGATGCCCAAATTCGTTTCAGTCACAGCCGGCCCCACAGACAGAGGGCTGCAAGCAGGAGAATCAAGGCCAGAAGGTGAATCCCAGTTTGACCTTAGGTGAACCACTCCTTAGAGCTTCTGCTTCTTCAGAGCAAAGGGGATAACGCCAGCCCTGTCCAAACAGCAGAACTGCTATGAAGATCAAACGAGATAAAGATTCTAAAGTACTCTGAAAACTGTTACAAAAAGATAAACTGAGGTCACTTTCATCCCATATAGAAATCTTCTCAAAATCACACAAAAAAGCCCCAAAAATACAGCCCAAATGGCTGACTAGACACAACAAACATTTAATATTAACTGAGATCTCTTCCTAAACACGCTCCTTTTAGAATCTCCTTGACAACATTGTAAATTTAAGAAATCACAAAATAAAACTTCTATACATCTATCTCTATGGAGCCCTGGTGGTGCAGTGGTTAAGAGTTTGGCTGTTAACCAAAAGGTTGGCAGTTCGAATTCACCAGCTGCTCCTTGGAAACCATACGGGGCAGTTCTACTCTGTTCTATTGGGTCGCTATGAATCAGAATCGACTCGACGGCAATGGGTTTGGTTTGGTTTACATATCTCTACATTTAAAGAAGAATTAATACCAACTATTTGTAAACTTTTCTAAAAAACAGAAGAGAAAGAAACACTTCCCAGCTCATCCTATGAGGCCAGTAATACCGATACCAGAAACAGATGGAGGCATCACAAGAAAATCACAGGCCAACATCTTATGAATATAGATGCAAAATTCTCAACAACATAATAGCAAACCAAATCCAGAAACATATATAAAGGATTATATGCCACAATCAAGTGAAATTTATCACAGGTTGGTTTAATATCCAAAAATCAATTAATGTGACTACATCTTTATCAACAGAAAAAAGTACAAAAAGCCATGATCATCTCAACAGATGAAGAAAAAGCACTTTGACAAAATCCAACAGCCCTTCAGGATAAAAACACTCAACAAATTAGGAATAGAGGGAATCTTCGTCAACCCTAGGAAAAAAGGTATCTTTGAAAAACCCACAGCTAACATCATACTGGAGTACCCGGGTGGTGCAAATGGTTAATGAGCTTGGCTGCTAACCATAAGGTTGGAGGTTGAGTCCACCCAGAGGTGCCTTGGAAGAAAGGCCTGGTGATCTACTTCCAAAATCTCAGCCACTAAAAACCTTATGGAGCACAGCTGTACTCTGACACACAAGGGGTTGTCATGAGTTAGAGCTGACTTGACAGGACCCTGATACTTAAGAGTGAAGGACTGAAAGCTTTCCCCCTAAGATCAGGAACAAGACAAGGATGTCTGCTCTTGCCACTCCTATTCAACACTGCACTGGAGGTCCTAGTCAGGACAATTAGGCAAGAAAATGAAATGAAGGTGTTCAGAACGAAAAGGAAGAAGTAAAACTGTTTGCAGATGACATGATATGGAAAATTCTAAGGAATCCACTGAACAACTATTAGATAATGAGTTCAGCAAGGTTACAGGTACACAATCAATATAGAAAAATCACCTGTATTTCTATCCACCAACAATGAACAACACAAAAATGGAATTAAGAAAACGATTCCATTTATAATACCATTTACACTCTGAAAACTATAAAACTCTGTTAAAAGGAATTAAAGAAGACCTAAATGGGAAGATATCCTATGTCCATAGATCAGAAGACATATAATTGTTAAGACGTCAATATCCCCAAATGGATCTACAGACGCAAAACAATCCCTATCAAAATCCCAGCTGACTTCTTTGCAGGAACTGACAAGCTGATCCTAAAATTCTTACAGAAATTCAAGGGGCCCAGAGTAGTCAAAACAATTCCAAAAAAGAATAACGAAGTTGGAGGACTCACACTTCTAGATTTCAACCTTACTACAAAGCAACGGTAATAAAAACCATGTAATACTGGCATAAGGAGAAACACATAGATCGATGGAATAGAACTGAGGTCCAGAAACAAATCCTTACATTTACAGTCAACCGAGTTACAGCAAAGGTGCCATGGCAATCCAATGGGGAGAGGTGTTCCACAAATGGTCCTGGGGTAACTGGATATTCACATGCAAGAGTGATGTTGGACCCCTTCCTCACACCATACAGAAAAGAACTCAAAATGGATCACAGACCTAAACATAAGAACAAAAACTATAAAACTCTCAGAAGAAAATAGAGGAGTATATCTTCATGACCTTGGGTTAGGCAGTCTTCTTAGCTATGACACCAAGACTCCAATTCAGTAGGTATGAAGTGGGGCCTGAGATTCTGCATTCCAGGTGGTGCAGCAGCTGGTCTGCAGACCTCACTCTAACTAGCCAGGCTTGAGGAGACCCAGAGAGTCATATCTCGCTCAGGGAACATGAGCCATTAACACCTTCTGTATTAATAACCCCTTTTAAGCTTATGCATTCTGTGTCATCAAACAAACAAAGACAAAAATGAAAACTAACTCGGCATCTACGGGCATCCTTCTTCCACCCATCCCTCTCCCACTGTGACAGCTACGAATCTCTTGTCTCGCTCTTCCCAGCACCTAGCATAGCCCTGGAAAGCAGTAGGCCCTCAGTAAGTGCTTGTTAAATGATACTCTATATTGTTTCAACATGTTTCATTTCTGCCCACTTGCTTCTTACAAAGATATTTTTGTTGACTGGCCATCTTTCCCATTTGATTATAAATTCCTTGAAGACAGAGACTCTTCCCTTTGTTCTGGAACACACAGGCTGGTACACAAAGGACACTCAGTAAATGTCTAGTGACTTACCCTGGATATCTGAACATAATAAGGATGCTACATTCAGGCTACTGGAGAGAATACATAAGAAGAACATATCCTGAAGTTGCAATCCTTCTTTCTGAGGAATTTAAAATGCTCACATGTATGACTTATCTTCATAAAAGTTCAGTATTACGCACTGAAAGGCTCACCAGTTTTACTTAATAAATAAGAAAATGGCAAGAAAGTATATTACGCCATCATTATATTCTGCTTCTTCATAGATAACCTCATCAACATAGAAAAGAACGTTTAACGAACGGTACCTCAGTCTCCCCACATTCATCAGGCGGATCCTGGTGTATGGTCATTTGATACTTGACATATAAAGAAAAGGACTGGCTGAAGGACGACTTGAACTCTGGGTCCTCAAAAGAGACAGGTACTAACCTCACCTTCAGAGCAAGGAAAATACAAGCAAAGGCTGTTGAAACACTTCCACTTGACTATACGCTTCTGAAGGTGAGGCTAGAGTAAGATCTCCGCAAATCCACTTCCAAAGCTCAGCACTGCAATTTGTCATGAAATCGAATAAACCCTGGAATAGGCTGACTGGCACAGAGCGTGAAGTGCTCACTTTACACTAATAAAGATAAAAATTGTAAATTCTGTAAGGGCCAGAACAAGTTTTTGTTTGTTTCTCTACCCACCTATTGTAATTTTCTGTATATGCTAGAGTCAACACCGTTGCTAACTACGACTAAAAGTATTGTTGCCACTACTTCTTTGACCTCTACTTATATTAGGCATTTTAGACTGTTTCCCCTTCCAGGTTTCTCTTGGGTAATATAATTAATAAAATTATAAGCATATTAGGAATTCTTTGAACACATCCTAGTATCTTAATTTTTTAGTCTCAGTTGTACAGGGGAAGTACATAAAGAATACTTTAGCTGCTATGAACGTTTTCTGAATTTTAAACGTGGATAAAGCGTATCATCAGTGTTGTGCCAAGTATGCCTACCATAGAAATATACAGTGCTTTGCTTGCTTCTCATAGATATTTTAGCTTAGAGCTCTATGAATACTAAGTATTATTACTATGTTTTAGATGAATGCATTCAAACACAGTGACTTTAAATAAAAGATAATTTATTTCATGTGTTCCTTTCCAATTTGAAATTATACATGGCTGGCACTCAGTATGGCAACAGGTGAAGTTGGCACTTTCAGAATGTTCCTTAATTCAGTCCTACCTCTTTGCAGGTATGCTGCAAAGTGACTATAAATAAAATGTACCACAAATAAAGAAAGAATTCATACGATGATAGCAACTGGAGGGGAAAGTTCCGTTTGCACGTAAGAACTGCGCGTGGCCCGCTGACCTGGCTCACAGTTGGCTTATCAGGTGGATCCTTGTGAACAATCATCTGGTAACGTTTATAGATCTGATAAGACTCTTGAAATGTGGCTTTGAACTGAGAACTTGGTGGAGATGATCTCACCACCCTCACCTTCAGAAGGAGTTAAAAACAATGTTCATTAATTCATTTATTCATTCCATGGGCTATGTATTCACAGTTACTCCCATCCAAAAAGAACCAAAACAAATATTAATGCATAAACTAGAGTCATAATATTTTAACATTAAAAAATCAACTGGTTAGTAAATAAGTTATTTCTCCAGCTCATCGGACTTATAGAAACACAAGAAGGCAGAGGGTCTTCTGTACATTCTACGTCTCAGCTTGGAAACTGACTAGATTATGTGACCCTGCCTATATTGTAAAATCTCTGGCACACAAGGTGCAAAAAAATACTCTTTTTTTTGGACACAACTCACCTTTGTAAGTCCTTCCAAAGAACTAAAACTGTGAATATACTTTTTGGGAACTTCTTTATTCATTGTTACTAAGTCTAAACTTACAAAATTTTTTGTAAGTATAAAAGACAACCCTCAGAAAAGTGTTCCTATTTCATACCATAGTTAAGAACAAAGACTCTGAAGTCAGATGTCCTTTGTTCAAGATGTAATTCCACCATCTTGGTCAAGTAACTCAGCCTCTACGTGCCTCAGTTTCCTCATACATAAAACGAAGATGAGTAACTGGTACGTAGTAATGGCTGGTATTTGTTGAATCCTTACAATTACTTTAGTAACTGTTATTACTACCAATACTAGTAAACAGTAGTAAATAGTAAATACCAATTACTACCAATTACTAGTGAATAGCTAACTGCTTGTAAGAGTATACAAAACTTGCTGCTCTAAAACATCCAAGCATGGGGACTACAAAGTCAATTTCATGTGCTATTTTTGTGCTCCAAAAATCAATAATAAAAGCAGCACAGGAAAATGAAGCTTACTTGAAGCAAAATTTCAAATGGAAGAACAGAATGACAAAATATTCATGCTGACACTAATAAAATTTACTACATGGAAAACCACTAGAAGAATAAATGAGATACTAATCAGTTAAAATGTATTAACAAAACAGAAAAAAAGAAAATCAAATGCAACGTAATAAAGGCATAACTGGAAGCGTGCGTGCGTGCGCGTGTTCTGTGAAGAGAGAGTGACATCTAGTGGATATTAAGTCTCTGGACATCCTGGGTATCATTACATAAAAAAGGTAAGAGAGGCTACTGTATGTAGATCTGTTGTTAGCAGGGGTGGATTAGTCAACAGGCGAGGCAAGCACTATGCTCACCTTGCTTACCAGATCATCTGTAGTAAATAATTTCACTACAGATTAGTAAGCACAAGTAAGCCCATGCTTACCCTGCTTACAAGGTCATCTGCCCCTACCAGGGACTGTAAATTTGAAGCGGTGTTGATTCTGTAGAAAGGTGCTGTGGGGTTGGGAGACAGACAGAAGCCTGCCATACCTAGAAGCAGAATCTTTGATGTGGTGAAAAAATGTGACATTGTTCACTACAGATGATCTGGTAAGCAAGGTAAGCACAGTGCTTGCCTGGCCTGTTGGATACTCTGCCCCTGGTTGTTAGGCATGCTGGTTTCCTGAAGACATTACCATTCATGATTCAAAGATAGAAGACTCCTCATAAAATATTTTAAGTAGTGTGTCCGCTTAAAAAAAGAAAAGAAGCGGTCAGCAAACGCCTAACAATCTCTCTTCACAAGTGTGGAAGGAAAAAGGCCAATACTAAAATCAGAGTAGCCAATGAGTTATAATAGTTAGTTATTAAAAGAAAAGTTATTTGTGATAATATATATATTGTCCTAATGTTTAGACTGTGCCAGAGTTAATGTTTAGTATCAGATCTTTAGCGGTAAGTGGTATTCGTAGATTAAGCTATAAATTCAAAGGCTGACCTGTTACTAATTAAATACGAGAAAATGATAAAATCATTATGGCTAATGCTTTTTAATTTTACAAATACTGAAACTAATACTGAGAAATCTACACTTGATCTGGAAAATGTAGATCAATTTGAAAAAAAAGAAAAAAGGAGTTAGCTCTTAAGTATTCATTCTATGCCCTAAATTGGTTTGGGGGAAACCAATGAGAGAGGGTTAGAGCAGAACTGGGCCAATTTCGTTCTCTTTAGATGAATTCCTAACTGCTGGCTGGCTCAAGATCAGAATATTAGACAGCTAAAACAGTGATTTGCCACGTGTGGTCTATTTATTCTCTTTCAATACTTAAATCAAAACTGCCAAAACTAAAATTTTAATGAGAATTTTTCTCCTTTGCTTTAACTATTAAATTTGAGTCATGGGAAACAAAAAGCTAGATGAATCTCCAAAATAAAATGCTAAAGCTGGAACTGTTTCTGTAATTTTAGTATGCAATCTGCCTAATGTATTTTTTTTTAATCTTTTAAAAAATCTTTTTTAAAAAGGTTCCTCTCAAATAGCAATTAACATAGTAAATGTATATGCTATTTTATTCTAATTCACTTTAATTCCTTATTTGATAATACCAAAACATTAACTAGCCCAAACTCAAATGAAAATAAATTAAGTACCCAACAAAGAACAAAAAATAAAACCTAACCAAAAACACCCTCCAAAATACCTCTAACTTGTGTGATGCATCCTCTGGTAAAGGTTCAAAAATGAAATCTTCAAGGGATTTGGTCTGGTTGGATTTAGACTTTGGTGGGATCAAAGATGGCAGTTCGCCTTGAGCCTGGAGACCCTGCAGTTCCCCAGCTGGGCTTTGCTGCATGAGCTTTAACCTCTTCCTTTCTTTCCGGATTTCCTTTGCTTTTCGACATGGAGGCTTAGTCAAATCAGCCCCTTTGCCTAAAAAAGAATGTTGAGATGTTAGACCAATCACATTTGGCTCTAGAAACATTTTTTCAAAAGTCTCCAAGATTCTACAGAATAAGTCCAAAGAGTTCTGGCAGGTTTGCTTTGGGGCAACTGCTTCAGAGGTCACCTCTATGTTGACCTTAAAGATTCTACCTTAGTGGGAGCCACCAAAGAAAACAGTCACAGAAACTTTTCCAGGCAGCTCTTATTGTTGAAAATCTTTTTTGTTGTTGTTTTTTTTCAATCTTCTTTTAGTCTTGTAGGTGGAAAGAACATAATCAAATGTCTTTTCTGCTTTAGGGACAGCTGCCCCTAGTCTATATTTCTGAGGGACACCTCTCCGACAGTATTGCAGACAGATAAATACTTGGGAACTAGGTGTCAATGAGTATGGTACCAGAACACACTCTGGCAATGTAAATATAATATAAATCCTTGCCCAGTTAAAGGTATTTGTATCTCTCTCCATTTAACTTTAAAAGTCTCACTGGTTCAGTTCTAGTTAAAGTTTTCTTTTAATTAGAAAATAAATACCAAGTTGATAACCCTTTAAAATATTAAAAATAAACTTTTATTTTAAACTATTATAAAGCACAAATTTTTGTGAGTACATATTACATAATACGTTAAAACGAAGTATTTCACTTTTGAACAAGATAATCTGTAAATTATGCTTTTACTTAGCTTTTAAAATATTCATACCTTTTAACCTAGTAAATCTTCAAGCAATCTATACTAAGAAAATAAGAGGAGCAAATACTGACGAACACAAACAAGAACTCAAAAAAATCTAAATTCTCAACTACAAAATTATACAATTTTTAGAGTAGCTAAGCAAAAGAATATCATACAGCCATTAAAAGTGCTTTAAAAGAGGTCATAGAGAATTTCTCATTATGTAGTGTCAAAAATAATTCTAGTTATATATAAACATACACATCAAAAACATTTTTTAAAAGCTGGAAAGAAATACACCATGTTGACAGTCATTTTACCTTTCATATGCTGAGAATTTGCATTTCTAACAAGTTCCCAGGCGATGCTAATGCTGCTGGTAAGGTCCAATTCTGAGAACCACTAGTAGAGCAGTGGTCCTCCAAATTTATTATACATAACACGTCCCCTGGGGATCTTGTTAAAATGTGGATTCTGATCCAGTATATCTAGGGTGGAAGTGCAAATTCTCAGCAGGGGTTCGAAGCAGCACGAACTAGCTTGAAGCCCTGTTTTCAACTAAAAACAAAGTTTGCCTATTTTAAAAAAAAGAAGACTGAACAGATCTAATGACCAGGTAGCAAAAAGACTGATACTATAATTAACCACTGCCTTTGTCCAATACATTTTCGTAGGCAGGGGCTGTGTGTTTTCCCAAACACATTCTACAGCCTATTGGTTAAGAGCACCCACTCTGACAGGGCCTGCCTGACAGGAACTGCCTGGCTGGATGACCTTGGCATTACCACTGAAGTTTTCTCTTCTGTACAAGAGAGGTAATAACCAGCCCTGTCCGTGGAGTTCTCACGAAGATTCAATGAGTTACTGCTCAGTTAGGGTTCCTGATTTTTACTACCTATTATTTGCATCACCAATACCTAAAACAATGTTTTACCTGTAAAGGCACCCGTAAATGGTCGTTTTTTAACAATTGCATTTTCCAATAGGTACTCAAAATTATGTCCCCTACATAAGCTTAAAATTATGAAGAAATTATTTAAAAATTTTAAACTACATCAGGTGAACTGAAAAAACCTTCCAGTATTTTTATCAAAGACTATATATGTCATCTTGACACTAATTCATTCATTGGACTAAGCAATCCCTACCATGATTGTTTTTTCTCTACATTAATAACCAATTGCAATGGACAGCAGAACAGAATTTGAGCTTATTTAAGGGATACAGTTCTCCCTGGATCAATAATTCTTTCAGCAGAATGGAAACATAACATATAATCAGTACACCACACCAGTCCTGCCTCCATAGAGGTTCAAACCAAGTCCAGAATTAGTCCCAACTGATTTGAACAGTTTAGCAGACGTGCATAATTCCTAATAAATCTAATACACTTATGATATTTTTAAATAAAATGAAAATACAGGTTTCCAGAGAAATTACAAAGACTCCTATGTTTTAAGAGTAATCCCAAATTTCTAGTGAGAGATATCCTAAAGAAAAAAAGAATGCAAAAATATTTTAATGCTCTTGGTAATCACAGTGTTGGTGGTAAGGTTAGTACTGCTGTATGATGTGAGATAAAGCAAATGGGTGGCTGGGGAATATTTTAATATAACTGCTTCATCTCCAACGTCTCTAAGAACCAGGATTCTCAGTTTGGAAGACATAAATGTAAAGCACCCTCCCCCCAAGAAAAAGAAAGATAAAACCACTGCAGTCCTGAATCTGAACTGGAAATATCAATATGAACTTATGACCCTGAGTCTGTCCACTGAAAAGGCGTAGAAGACAATGACTAAATTAGTGGCAGTAATGGGCACCCCTAGTCCAGCTTGTGATCTCCAAATGCCATTTCCCAATGAAAAGAGCCAGGACTCCTTGGAGAAATGGTTGAATCCACAAATACACAAGATAAGTCTGCAGCATCACATCTTACCAGAGAGCGAAGAAGCTACCAACGACTACTAGGATTTTGTCAAAAGGACTCAGGAGCCAGTGTAAAGAAGCTCCCACAGAGGCAGTGGATTGCAACACAGCAAACATGTCTACGTAAATCCTTGAGTTTACAATGACACCAAAAACAACAAAAAACAAAAACTGGTCGCTGTCAGAAGATGTTACTTTGACAAACAGTAAATAAAACAAAAGAATCAAGAACGTACCCCACCTTTGCTATAAGTTCTTATGAGAATAATCAAATAGATGAGGAGAAATGTCTCTATAGAAGTATTCCAGCCAGTAAAGGAAAAATGAATAACAGAACAGAGTATCAAATCAGTTAACGAAGCTAGGCACTGAGCATCAGTGCTGTTAGCACTCACAAAAAGAGGCATCCAGACGTTATACGCCTCCTGAGAGGACACGCCACGACCCATGAAGTAGTCTTGCCCATCCTCAAACAAATAAATAATTAGAAAGCAAATCTGCCCTCCTCTCCTCCCCTCCCCCAAAACAAACAAACAAAAATTAACCTTAAATTTGACCAACGCCCTAGATTCATCTATCAATTTAAAGGTGGGTGGAGAAGCATGTTAAATTGCACAGTGCAGATGCAATCGGCAAAATACAGAGAGTGGTACAAACAATCTTGAGATAAAAAGTCCAGGTCCTTCAACAAGTAAACTGCAAGTAAACAAAGGGAAGCGATGAAAGTGGAACCTATAGCTCAAAAGAGATTTTAAAAATACATCAATCAACTGCAATACATGAACATTATCTGGATCGTAATGCAAACAAATGTTTAAAAATTGGAAATTTGAAACTGAATATGCAATGACACGAACGAATTTTATTTGGGTGTAATAAGGATATTGTGAATTTTTTTTTTTTAAGTTGTTATCTTTTAGAGATGCCTTTTAAAATAGAAAATAATGTCTGGAATTTGCTTCAACATACTACTAGAAGGTGGCAACTGGATATGGTTATGGGTGAAGTCTAACAGTGGCCATCATGAGTCAACAATTGTTTCAAATGAGGGTAGGGAACACGGAGATTCATTATATTGTCTACATTTGTCAACGTCTGAAATTCTCCATAACAAAGATAGTTTTATTTTGACAAACTATAAATAAATAAAATGATGATGTTGTTGTTAGGTGCCATCGAGTTGGTCCCGACTCACAGCGACCCCATGTATAACAGAACGAAACACTGCCCAGTCCTGTGCCATCCTCACAATCCTTGCTATGCTTGAGCCCACTGTTGTAGCCACTGTCAATCCATCTCGTTGGGGGTCTTCCTCTTTTTCACTGACCTTCTACTTTACTAAGCATAATGTCCTTCTCCAGGGGCTGGTCCCTCCTGATAACATGTCCAAAGTACAAGAGACAAAAAGTCTTGCCATCCTCGCTTCCAAGGAGCACTCTGGCTGTTATTTCTTCCCAGACGGACTTGTTCGTTATTCTGGCAGTCCATGGTATATTCAATATTCTTCGCCAACACCATAATTCAAAGGGATCAACTCTTCTTTGGTCTTCCTTACTCGTTGTCCAGCTTTCACATGCATGTGAGGCGACTGAAAATATCATGGCTTGGGTCAGGCGCACCTTAGTCCTCAAAGTAACATCTTTGCTTTTTAACACTTTAAAGGGATCTTCTGCAGTAGATTTGCACTATGCAGAACATCAGTTGCTTTGATTTCCTGACCGCTGCTTCCATGAGTGTTGATTGTAGATACAAATAAAATGAAATCCTTGACAACATCAATCTTTTCTCCATTTATCATGATGTTGCTTATTTGAGGATTTTTATTTTATGTTGAGGCATAATCCATAACGAAGGCTGCAGTGTTTGATCTTCATTAGTAAGTGCTTCAAGTCCTCTTTGCTTTCAGCAAGAAAGGTTGTGTCATGTGCATAACACAGGCTGCTGATGAGTCTTCCATCAACCCTGATGCTGCATTCTTCTTCATATAGCCCAGCGTCTCGGATTACATGCTGAACATACAGACTAAGTACGGTGAAAGGATACAACCCTGACATACACGTTTCTTGATTTTAAACCATGCAGTATCCCCTTGCTCTGTTCAAAGGACTGCCTCATGGATCAATTATTTTATTATTTTTAATTTATAAAATAATAATAAAAATAATAAAAGAATTGACCCTACTGCCCAAAAGAGTAATAATAATGGAAAGAAATCAAGTCATTCGAAATATTTTATTGGACTACTCTTATTAATTAGAATGAAATCTCAGACCAATAACAATTTAAATGCCATGAAACCCTTACATAAAAAAATGTTCTATTTTAAAAGTGCAAAAAACATTTTATGTGCTATGTTGGTGTTGTCGCTAGGTGCTGCTGAGTTGGTTCCAAGTCACAGCAACCCTAGGTACAACAGAACAAAACACTGCCCGATCCTGGACCATCCTCACAACTGTTGCTATGCTTGAGCTCACTGCTGCAGCCACTGTGTCAATCCATCTCATTGAGGGTCTTCTTCTTTTTCACTGACTCTTTACTTTACCAAGCATGACGTCCCTCTCCAGGGACTGGTCCCTCCTGACAACATGTCCAAAGTATGTGAGATGAAATCTTGCCAACCTTGCTTCTAAGGCATATTCTGGCTGTACTTCTTCCAAAACAGATTCGTTCATTCTTCTGGCAGTCCATGGTATATTTAATATTCTTCGCCGACACCACAATTCAAAGGTGTCAATTCTTCGGTCTTCTTTATTCATTGTCCAGCTTCCACAAGCATATGAGACGACTGAAAACACAATGGCTTGGGTCAGGCACACCTTAGTCCTTCAAGTGACATCTTTGCTTTTTAACACTTTAAAGAGGTCTTCTGCAGCAGATATGCCCAACACAATGTCATCTGATTTCTTGACTGCTGCTTCCATCGGTGCTGACTGTGGATCCAAGTAAAATGAAATCCTTGACAACTTCAGTCTTGTCTCCATTTATCATGACGTTGTTTACTGGTCCAGTTGTGAGGGTTTTTGTTTTTTTTATGTTGAGGAGTGATCCATACTGAAGGCTGTGGTCTATGATCTTCATCAGTAAGTGCTTCAAGTCCTCTTCACTTTCGGCAAGCAAGGTTGTATCCTCTGCATATCTCAGGTTGTTACTGATTCTTCCACCAATCCTGATGCCACATTCTTCCTCATATAGTCCAGGTTCTCTATTCGTTCAGCATATGCACTGAGTTTAAGTATGGTGCTTTAATGTGTATAAATTCTAATTAAGATGACAAAAACTAAAATAGTACTAAAAATTTATTCCTTAGATCATTCTGTATAAATATAAGAATTCAAGAACTAAAGCATAATAACCATCCAACTTCATATTTTATAAAATAATATTGAAAGAGTCATACACACACACACAAAATAAACCCATTCAATGTTGGATAGTTTTTTTTGTTTTTTGGTTTTTTTTAAGTCTATAAGCAACGTATTAGGGAAAAAAACTTTTCAAAGTTGAACATTAAAAATCTGGAAATTTTTAAACTAAAATTTATTATGATTATATAAGAAATGTGATGATAAACTGAAGAATTTTACAATGTCTGTATTGCAGACATAATGTCTACCTAGAATTTATTTTGCCTCACTCAATAATGCCAAAAATAAAAATGGTTAGCATCATATCTTTCAATGACAAAAATCTGATTCTAAAACTTCTAAGGCCCTAAGGTAGTAAGAAGAAACGGAAACCCCTTTAAAATACCTGTATTTAGGGACAAAATAATAAGGCTATTATTTCAGGCTCTATAAAATCAGCAGTTTTAAACAGACATGATTTGTCTATCTAAATCCAGGTAATAATAAGTTGAATAATTCAGGGTTCTATTTTATAAATTTCCTGAGTAAAGTGGTAGTGCCCAGGGATTACACTGACTCAAGTAAAAATAAAAGTATTTCATACATGATTTAACTACCTGGCTTAGGGACAGTCTGAACTTTAACCGACTGTGATGGTTCGCCAGAGCCCAACTTCTCTTCTATATGTTGCGACTGAATTAATTCAGTAGATTCTTCTTTCTTTGGGTTTCCTCCTTTCTTCTCTTCGCTCTCTAAGCTCTCTTTGAGGTCATCACGTAGTGTTTTAAGGTCACAGTGTATATCCAATTTATTTATTAACGCAAAATCACCAGCAACAGCATCCTCCACTGTGGAATCCATAGGCTCATCTACAAATCAGAAGAAACAAAAGTCCATCAGCCAGGTCATCTGACACAATCAGATATACCAAGGGAAAAAAGACCCCTTTATCCATGTGGCAGGGACTACCATGAGTCTACCAAATCCACTCTTCTGTCTTCCAAAGTCACAGAACTATCACTAGACTGTGTCCCTCCGGCAGGGGACTGCATTTCCCAGCCCCTCTGCAACTTGTGACTAAGCTCCTGCCAATGGAATGTGAACAAAAATGTTATGTCCAACTTCCGCCTCATTTGCTTTTGAGAAAATCTGTACCTTTGGATTTCCACCCTTTCCCCTCCTTACTGGATGCAACAGTAAAAACTGGAATGACCTTGGAATCCAAATGTGAAGTCCCATAATGCCTTGGGGGAGGGAGCTACAGGCCAGCCTGGAACACCTGCAGTAGACTGCTGTGAGGAATGAAATGGACTCCTATCATTTTTTGAGTCATCCCATTTTGGTGTCTCTGTTATAGTTATTTAGCCTTTTACCCTAATGAGCACATCACTCTGATGAATTAAGTCCCCCACACAAATAACTCAGGAGCCCATACTAAGTCAAATAAAGAACTCCCTCAAAATCCCACTGCCGTCAAGCCAATTCGGACTCACGGCGACCCTATAGGACAGAGCAGAACTACCCCACAGGGCTTCCAAAGCTGTAATCTTTAGGAAGCAGATTACCACATCTTTCTTCCAAAAAGCAGCTGGTGGGTTCAAACCGCTAACCTTTTGGTTAACAGCCAAGTGCTTAACCACTGTGCCGCCAGGCTTCCTTAAAGAACCCTCTCCCAGAACCAAAGCTATGCAATAAAAGAGGCAACCAACAATTTCCAGAAGGACATCATCCCCGAAGCTTACCCATGTTAATTTTTCGAACTCAGAACACGATTCCTGCCCACCCACACAAGAGAAGTTACATTATGTAGCCAACAGAAATCTAAAGATTAGGCACCAACAGCAGTAGTCAGAGCCACACCAAAGTTCTGATGTTTCTAATGTCCAACTGCCCCTGAAGCTTTCAGACCCAAGTCTTCAGGCCTCCTTGTTGCCCTGGCTCTGCCAAACTGGCTCCCCGTCCTCCTGAGCGCTGACTCAGTCAGGGCAGTGCCCGAGGGCAAAGAACATCTCTGTCTTGTTGACCACTGCCTCTGCAGTGCTGAGAACAGGGGCTGGGACTTTGTAGGCATTCACCACGAGCTTGCTGACTGGATTAATGACTAGGACTGGGATGGGGGTTCTCAGGATTAGGCAGCCCCTAAGGCAGGAGTGAGAAAGAGCGCTAAGAATGGGTGGTACTCACAATTCCTATGCTCATGTGTTAGGCACTATGGGAAAACTAAAAAAACAACGTTTAGAAAAAGCTAAATCTGTAACCAAAGTTAATTAAGAGCTACTAATCATCTTTTAGGAAATTCACTTGTAATTTAAAATGCATCTGACAAATAAGAAACAGAATTTCAGGCACTATATTTTACTTAAGTGAGAGCTCACTCAAACACAGAAAAATCCACTGCTGTGAACTCGATTCCAACTCAGAGCAACCCTACAGGACAGAGTGGAACTGCCCCACAGGGTTTCCAAGGCTGTACATCTTTACAGACTGCTACATTTTTCTCCCGCGGCACGGCTGATGGGTCCGAACTGCCGACCTTTCTGTTGGCAGCCGAGTGCTTTACCACTGCACCACCAGATCTCCCTGAACACAGAAAACCTGAGCTTTACTCTGTTCTAAAAGTGACTGTACAATCTTCAATAAACTACATCTAATCATCTGGTGATGATACCACAAGGCAAGTGATAATGCCACTTTCTATGCACTGCATTAGGATAGTATTAGGATAGTATAAAATAAAAGTGGCCAAAGTCTTGTGCAAACTAAAATTTCAGTAAACCCTAAGACATGACAGAAATTTGAAAACAGTCTTCAGTCTTCTTCCCAAGCCAGAAGCTCAGGCATATATCCCCAGACCCGAGCCCTGAGGCCCAGCTATCAGCAGTAGTTGTAATCATGGTAGTAGTGCACGATTGTGGCACCGACCCCCTTCCCTACCTGAGAAAATGACTTTGAGTCATTGGAAAGACGTCCACTCAGAGCCAAGAGACCCCGCCTCCTCTTACCCTCACAACTTCCTCTGGAAACATCCCCTTTAGCCAGAAATTTCAACATTTTTTTCAAAACCTTCTTGTGAGATTTTGATGGCTGAAACTGCAAAGGTCGGCACCTACGAAAGCGAAATAAAGAGTGAACTCAAACTTTGAAAGAATAAAATCAATTCTAGGTCACATCCACCATGGTGAGGCAAACCCTATGCCTGGGATTTCTGGTAACAGATGAGGCCTAATGTGGCCTCTAACCCCTTGCCAAACTTCACTAAAACTACAGTTAAGGGATTAAAAAAAAAAAAAAAAGACATAAACCCACTAGGACCAAGAGCATGGGAGAAAGCAGATGTACAAGTCGTTACTGACTTAGCAGACCAACGAAAAGTTGAATCTTACATCAATAGTGGGAAAAGTCAAAAAAGGTACCCAATTTTCTCTACATTACACCTAAAAGATTTAGGGATTGGTGATGCCTGGTACTTCTGGAAATATGATTGAATGTGGGTCTAAATATATGAGAAACCCCTTGAAAGTCTGCTTCCAAAGCACTTAGATATGGGATCCCTCCCCCCACTCGGCACAGCCAGATCACTGTCCCTACAACCTGACAGAAAATTGCAAACTTTTAGAAAAGAGTAAAAAAATAGGACCTCTGCTAATCAAAAGGCTGGCAGTTTGAATCCAACAGTTGCCCCCTGGAAGCCCAATAGGACAGTTCTACTCTGTCCTGTCGGGTCACTGTGAGTCAGAACCGGCTCGACAGCAGTGTGTTTGGTTTGGTTTTTTGGAACGTGAAGGATATAAGGCACAGTTGAAGACAATGACACTGTGCTGGAAAGAGGAAGTGTGAATGAAAGCCTAAATATTGAAAGCTGAGACACCCAACCTAGCCCCCAGAACGCTGGCAGACAGGATTCTCCTTTCTCTCTGGATTGTGATCAGACCTAGAAATGTTGTTACTGGGGATTCCCCAAGAGAACAGCCCAGCCAGCTCACCCTGCCCAAAGCCCACAGTAAACAAGCACTACTCAGATGCACAGAATTCCCAATGTTGGAAAGTCAGAATCACCAGAAACTTGAAAAAGGCCTCCAGTACAAAGACAGATGCCAAACAAACTGGAGAAAGTAAGTCGGAGGACAGAGACTTAAAACAAAAACAACAAAAGACCTCTCAGAAGTAAAGATACGATGGGAGAAATAAAAAATTAAAGAGTAGAAAAAAGAAGTTAAGGAAATCTCCCAGAGATTCATGAATAGACAGAAAACGGAAGAGAAAAACAATTAGCAGACCAGTCAAAAAGTTCCAGTATATGAATTAAAGGTTTACAGAAGATCAACAAAATAATTCAAGAAAATCTTTCTGAATTGAAGTATATGACGGGAGAAGCTCCCAGATAAGAAAGGCCTCTCGAGTCCGTATGTAATGGATGAAAACTAACACACAGCAAAACACATCATGAAATATTAGAACACTGAGGAAAAGGGGAAGATCCTAAAAGCTTCCAGAAAGAAAGAACAGGTTTCAAACAAAGGAACAAGAAGCAGAACACCACTGGATCTTTCAGCCACAATAAGAACAATGGAGCAAAGCCTTCAAAATTCCGACAGGAAATCATTTCCAACCCACACTTCTGTACCCAGCCGAACTATAATTTTCAGTACTGAACTGAAACATTTGCAGACATGCAAAGTCTCAAAAAATTTACCTCTCATGCACATTTTCTCAGGAAGCTATTCAACGTGCTTCACTAAAATGAGGGGTAATCCCAGCAAGAAGGCAGAGGACACAGGAGTCAGGGAACCAGCTAGACAGACAAGGAGAATTCCCTGAGGACCGTGAAGAGCTACAGGACAGCAGTGCTGTGGCAGGTGGAGAGAGCACCTGCCCAGGTCGGAGCAGGTCACGGGCTCCAAGAGAAAATGATTTTCATCAAGAAGATAAAAGTAATCAAGCGTTTGATTTCTCTGAACATATTAAGAGAAAACTTACACAGCTATCCTAGCAGGAGGGGGTATGGGAAACCCAAAACAGTATGAATAATTAAGAAAACATTTGGCAGGAAAATTTTACTTAAGCTTTCCATTTAAGAAAACCAGACTGTGAGTGTATACAGCAGATTAAGTTTAAGACCCTCTTACTATTCCTACCGAGTAATTTATAGGATCCTGTAATACTGCTTGTGTAAAAGCCCTGTGTCAAGTACTACACTCGAACGTGGAAAGCCCTAAGCTAAATCCTGTTAAAAAAAAAAAAAAAACTGATATCTAAAAGGAATTTAAATATTTACCAATATTTTCCTAACATTTCATGATACCCACTGACTAAACTGTTCTATCAAAAGGGTATTTTTTTCAAGTCATATTTATGTGTAAACCAATTGGATGGTATTATTAAAAGTTATCAATCAGAACATAAATACAGCATCAGTATGTAGAAAAGATATAACATATTTACTTTTCCTTTTAAAGGATGTCTACCTAGATGGCAATAAACATTAAAAAAAAAAAAAAACAAGATCCTACTAAAAAATTTACAGTCTTCATGTTATAGATTCTCTTTCTATTCATTAAAAGACCAAACGCTTACCTTATTGTATACTGAGGACAACATGTTTGATTCATGACAGGTTTGTACACATATTTCCCGCTTCTAAAATTACAAAACAGTTTTGTTAAGTTCTTACACATTTTTCATTTACCAACATAGATTAATACGGGCACACTCAATTAAGCGTAAATATTTATTTAATAGAAACCCTGGTGGCAAAGTGGTTAAGAGCTAGGGCAGCTAAGGAAAAAGTCGGCAGTTCGAATCCACCAGGCACTCCTTAGAAACCCTATGAGGCAGTTCTACTCTGTCCTATAGGCTTGCTATGAGTCGGAATCGACTGGATGGCAATGGGTTTTGGTTTTCTGTAATAGTGTAAAAATGCATTTAAGTTAAATAATCTTGCAAAGTGGGAATACCAAGGACCAGAGCACAGCCTTTTGTTGACTAAACCCTTACACCTGCACTCCAAGGTCAATCATCTCAATGTTCTCACTCACACTGGCACTCCCTCCGGTAAGTAGACCTGCCACCAACCCTCAGTCTCGCCTAAGGGCCCTGAGAGAAAACTGCAGGTGATGCTGGGAGACTAATGCACGCTGCCACCTGTGGCGTTCACACTTGGTTGTTCGACATACACCAGGACAAAGGACTCAAAAGCTAACCCAATCCTTTCCACGCATTCCAGATCTGTTAATGGCAGAACAATCCACTGAGTTGCTCAAGTCAAAAAACTGGGAGCCATACTTAGACATCTCCCTCTAATTCACCTTTGTATCCTTCTATCTCCAAAATGTATCTTACATTTGTCCCCTCCCATGGGGCAGGAGCCCTGGTGGTGCAGTGGTTAAGAGGTACAGTGAGCTACAGCTGCTAACCAAAAGGTCAGCAGTTTGAATCTACCGGCCACTCCTTGGAAACCCTATGGGCCAGTTCTACCCTGTCCTACCGGGTTGCTATGAGTCGTAATCGACTCAACAGCAACAGGTATTGCCACTGCAAGGAGCCCTGGTGTGCAGTGGTTAAGCGCTCGGCTGCTAACCAAAAGGTCAGTGGTTCGAACCCACCAACCACTCTGCAGGAGAAAGATGTGGCAGTCTGCTTCCGTAAAGATTAAAGCCTTGGAAACTCTATGGGGCAGTTTTACCCTGTCCTATACTTCTACTTGACCTATAGAGTCACTATGAGTAGGAATCCATTCTATAGGATTTGATATTAGTTTATAGTTACTGCCACGGACACCAGTCCTCACTATTTCCCACCTGGATACTGCCACGATCTCTGGGACTCATCTTCCTGCCTCCAGGATCACCCCCTCAGATACCTCACTGCCATTTGAAGGATCTTTTCCAAAACACAAATTGCATCACGTTCCTCTCCTTCAATGGCTCCCCTCTATCTTAAAAAAAAAAAAAAAAAAAAGAGTTCTACAGCATAGCATGCAAAGTCCTCCAACATCTGACTAATACCTGCCTTGTAGATGAAGTTTAAAGAAAGCTGTAAAGCTTCATTTGCTATGCTCAATCCCGTGTCTTTTGAAGAGTTCTGGCATAGGGTACTTAGCATTGCTTACACTTGCAGGAGGAACAAGGCCTTTCTGAGACAATCGGGAAAATCTAATCGACTGGGTAACAGGTGACATCAAGGAATTATTCATCTTGTAAGGTATGATAGGGTCTTGTAGCTACGTTAAAAAGCAAAAAAAAAGTCCTTCACCCAGAATCCAGAGAGCGTAGCCAACACCCATGGTCTGGAGGGCGGGGCCGTTGCCCAAATGGTCTCAGAGAACAGAGGATTATTTTCAAGCCTTGAGAGCTAATGTAATTTGTTCTGCTGGGTTTTAGACTTGCTTGGTGCCCGTTATCCCTTATTTTCCTCCAATCTCTTTCATCTGTAATAGAAATGCCTACTTTCTGCCTGTTCCACCATTGTACTTTGGAAGCAGATTAACTGTATTCTAGATATCACAGGTTCACAGGTGAAGAGGGATTTTGCCCAGGATTGAAATGTCTAAAGTCTCACCCACACCGATTTAGATGTTTCAAAAGATGAGGTTTTAGACTCAGAGTTGACTGAAGGCTTTTGGGATATGATCGGGTGGCGCTTGTGTAAAGGACATAAATTTTTGGGAGTCAAATGGTGGAATGTCATGGATTACACTCTGTCCCCCAAATACTTATTATGAGGTATTGTGCCCCAAATGCCATATTATGATACAGTGTCTGGAATTTAGTATAAAGTACTTAGGGGGTGCAAGGAGAGGAGAGCAAGGAGAATTGATGAACCAAGATTGGCAAAATGTTGATAACTATAGAACGTGAGTGGCGGGTGCATGAGGCTCATTATAATGTACTGTCTACTTTTGCGAATATTTGAAATTTCCCTAATAAACATTTTTCTTAAGACAGAGATTAAAAAAAGACTAAAAAAAATTGTTTTTAAGTTTTTTGTGCATATTAATTCACCTGATTTTTATGTTTACAGCACAGTCTTCAACTTTGGAAAAAGAACAAACATTTGAAAGGCAAACTATTCTCAATTATAAGAAGAAGTATTTGTATTAAGGAGCTTTACCTTCGCCAACCTCGGTCTATAAGATCCTGATAATCCTGTGCTGTCAGGGAATGTGCCCACATGCCTGAAAAAATAAGTGGCATATTAATTACAGCAGGTTGAAGTTCTCTCTTTTTTAAATTCAAAGCATTATTTTATTAAATGTGAATATTTAGGCAAATAGAACACTGACATTGGAGAAATTCAAGTTTGTGCCTACATCACGCTTGGTTAGTGAGACAATTCAAAACACAAATGTAAAATAAAGTGTATTTATTTCATTTAAGAAATCAAATACATCAGAGTGATTAGATTTAGTTCAAGATGAGTCAATGGCCTCCGTGACATCACAAATTTGGGTCCTCGTTGCAATCAGACTACATTTCACCTTTAAACCTTAGTAATATACTTAATGATTTATATGGTCTCTGCAGAAGAATTAGACGGCGAATGTTTTTTCATACATACTAATTCTTCTGATTTTCATATATGTTTACAGAATGGTCTTGAACTTTGGAAAAAGGACAAAAGTGTACAGCAATGTTCTTTCTATATATAAAAACTGAAAATAGCTTAAGAACCCAGGAACCGGCAAATGAGTACAATATGATGGATAATTATTCAACCACGAAAAAAAAATAAAGACCAAGAGAAAACATTAAAAGGCATACTGAAATTAATGTTAAATAAGAAATAAAGGAAGTATTTTTGTAATCAGTAAATTGCATCAGAACTATGTAAAGATAGAGATAGGCTTGAGAAAGCAGGATGCACTGAACAGAGAATGGGTCTGGAGTCCACCAGAAATTAACTGAAGTCTAGTGGGTGTTCATTAACTCCAACAACTTACTCTATGAGCCTCATCTTCTTCATCTGTAAAATGGGAATAATAAAAAACACCTACACAACAAAGCCACCACTTGTCTGTCAGTTTGCTGCACTGCGGTGGCTTGCGTGTTGCTGTGATGCTGGAAGCCATGCCACTGGTATTTCAAATACCAACAGGATCACCCATGGTGGATAGGTTTCACTGAACTTTCCAGATGAAGACAGACTAGGAAGAAGGACCTGGAGATCTACTTCTAAAAACACTGGCCAGTGAAAACCTTATGAATAGCAGCAGAACATTGTCTGATATAGTGGCGGAAGACGACTGGGGAAGAGATGCTTCCTCAAAGTAGAGTCGACCTTAATGACACAGATGTAGTAAAGCTTTCAGGACTTTCATTTGCTGATGTGGTATGAATCAAAATGAGAAGAAACAGCTGCAGGCATCCATTAATAACTGGAACGCGGAACATACGAAGTATAAATCTAGGAAAACTGGAAGTTGTCAAAAATGAACTAGAACACTTTAAGATAGATACTGCAGGTATTAGTGAGCTGAAATGGACTGGTATTGGCCATTGTGAATCAGACAATCATATGATCTAGTACGTTGAGAATGACAAATTGAAGAAGAACAGCGTTACATTCATCGTCAAGAAACACTTCAAGGTCTATCCTAGAGAACAACGCTGTCAGTGATAGGATAATATCCATATGTCACAAGGAAGACCAGTTAATATGACTATTATTCAAATTTACATACCAATCACTAATGCCAAAGATGAAGAAATTGAAGATTTTTACCAACTTCTGCGGTCTGAAATTGAACAAACATGCAATCAAGAAGCATTAATAATTACTGGTGATCGGGATGTCAACGTTGGAAACAAAGGATTAATAGTTGGAAAATATGGCCTGGGTGATAGAAATGACACCAGAGATTGCACAATAGAATTCTGCAAGACCGAGGACTACAGTCTTCAGTATGGATTACACTTCAACATAAAGAAAACAAAAATCCTCACAACTGGACCAATAAGCAACATCATGATAAATGGAGAAAAGACTGAAGTTGTCAAGGATTTCACTGCACTGGGATCCACAATCAACGCCCATGGAAGCAGCAGTCAAGAAATCAAAGGATGTGCTGCATTGGGAAAATCTGCAAAAGACTTCTTTAAAGTGTTAAAAAGAAAAGACTTCACTTTGAGGACTAAGATGCACCTGACCCAAGTCATGGTCTTTTCAATTGCTTCAAACGCATGGGAAAGCTGGACAATGAAAAAGGAAGATCGAACAAGAATTGGTGCATCTGAATTATGGTTTTGGCAAAGAATACTGAATATACCATGGAATTCCAGAAGAACAAACAAATCTGTCTTAGAAGAAGTACGGCCGGAGTGCTCATTAGAAGCAAGGATGGGGAGACTTCATCTCAAGTACTTCAGACGTGTTTTCAGGAGGGACCAGTCCCTGGAGAAGGACATCATGCTTGGTAAAGTAGAGGGTCAGTGAAAAAGAGGAATGCCCAAGGAGACGGATTGACACAGTGGCTGCAATGATGGGCTCACACATAGCCAAAGATTATGAGGATGGTGCAGGACCAGGCAGTGTTTCGTTCTGCATTACGTAGGGTCGCTGAGTCGGAACCAGCTCAATGGCACCTAACAACAACAACCCAACAAGGAAGGAGCCACGGTAGCACAACAGTTAAGCTCTTCGCTGCTAACTGAAAGGTCAGCGGTTCAAACCCACCAGCCTCCTCCGTAGAAAAGATCTAGCAATCTGCTCCTGTAAAGATTACAGCCTAGAAAACCCCATGGGGCAGTTCTACTCTGTCATGAGTTAGAATCAACTCCAGGGCACACAACAACAATAACCCAATAAGTAGGGTGCTTTATAATAAATATTATTATTAGATTTATATTGAAATAATAACAGAAATTTACAATTATCTCTTTAGGTGAAAAGATTCAAAGCAAGTTTCTTCCATAGGACTTAAAACGTAGAATGTCTATATTAACCAATTTCCCTTATTAAATGATTGGAAACATCCAATAAATTAAGGTCTATTAAAACATTAATTTTAGACACATTTAACATAACTCATCTGTTATACAACTATTATAACCACAATACTAAAATTCCGAAAAAGAAAAAGGAGGAACCACTCATGCCCTTGGCTAACACTGCCACCATTCTCTGCACGGCTAGAGTTTTCTCTCTCATAGCTGTAACCACGCCGCACATGGCCATTTTGCATCTTGTTTATTTTCTCCGTTTAACCCTGCACTGTAAGCATCCCACACCCCACCCCCCCTTAGCCGGTCTTCACAATCATCACTCCTAAAGGCAGCAATTACATTCCATTCCCTCTGCCCACAGAAGCATCATATACAATACTTGTAATGAACGGGAAATGACCACACCATATTGTAGGGCACTAGTAAATTTTTTTAAAACAGAAACTACCTAAATATACATCTTCACGGCTATCCCATTTCCCACCATGCTAGATTATTCTATTAAAATACGAGATTCTACATTCTACATCTGCCAGTCATGACAAGGCAGGAAATAAACACGATGCTTTGTCTGCGAACAACACATCTTCCCCCAAAAAACTGAACCATGGGGAAAAAAAATTGTAGGCTGGCTTTGATGTCGAGGTGGGCAGAAGGAATGATATGGGATATAAATACCTGGGGAAATTTTCAAACAGGTTAATACAAACAAGGCCCCCTGGCCAGCAGCGACCATGGTCACCGGTTTTCTGTATGTTCATCAGAGAAATTTTTCCCCTAAGTTATGCATATGTGTGCACACACGTATGTGCACACGCTCACACCTTTTTCTACACAGCAGCACCACACGACCCTCCCGGTCCTGCGCCCCCGTTTTGCACTTACTAGCGGGGATCCTCCCACGTTACCGCTTACAGGTCGGCCTCAGCCGTAAACACTAAAGTACTCCCCGGCACGAGCATGCCAGCATTTCTTTAACCGGCTCCCACTGACGGGCATCAGTTTCCAGACCTCTTCTCCCGCACGCCGATCACCATCTCGCACGTCCAATCAGCGGGGTGGGTTTTCCCGAAGAACAAGCACCTCGAAGCGTCCCTGCTGAATCCGACGCGAGGTCCGTTTTTCACTGACAGCCTCGGCCCTCCCAGGGATGCCCCGTCCGCAGAGCCTCCAACCCGGCACGCCAGGGGCTCAGGCCGCCGCGCGTCCCTCAAGCGACCCCCGAGCCGCCGCTGAGCCCCCCACGCCCGCCGGCCCGGCTCGCTCACCCCTGGAGAGACTGCCGGACTCGTTCTTGCAGTAGCCGCAGCGATAGAAGTCCTCGCCCTCGAAATACTCCACGATGCTAGGCGAGAGCGCGGCCCAGGAAGCCATGACCTCGGCCACCAGCGCTCCGCGGCCCGGCCTAACGCCGCCAGCCCCGCCGCCACCCCACAATGCACCGCGCTGCCCAGGGCCCGGAGGCTCGCGCGAAGCCGCTCGGGCGCCCGCAGGCCCGGCAGCGCCGGGAGCCGCGAGGGCCGACGCCGCTCGCGCCATCTTAGCCGAGGGCAGCAGCCCGCTATTTCCGTTCCTTCTCCGCGAGTAGCCGCCATCTTCAGTGAGGGTGAGGCGGAGAGACGGAGCGTCAGGGGAAACCGTCGGGGAAGAAGCGAGTGGGAAGGAGCAGAGGAGTGGGGCGGCCGGGCCTGTTTTCTCCCCGGCCAGGTGTGACCGGGCCGCGGCGGGCGCGTGCGGGCTCGGGCGCGAGGTGGCGGCGACGGAGACACTCACCGCAGGACGCCTTGCCCTCTTTGGAGTCGCAGTAGCCGCAGTGGTAGCCATCCTTGAGCCCCTTGTACTCCACCATTGAGGCCATGGCCGCCAGGTCCGCGCAGGTCGGCCACGCCTCTCGGCGCCGCGGGGCGGCCCCGGCGGATGGCAGGCCCCCCGGCAAGGGCGGGGGAGTGGGAGGCCAGCGCGGCGGGTCCCTGTGCCTGGAGTGCCTTGTCGGGTTCGGGGGCCGGGCAGCCCGGGGCGGTAATGGGGACGGTAGTCGTGCCCCCAAGCCCGAGTTTGCCCAGCACTTCGCACACTTTATCGCCAGTCCTTCCCACACCTGTGCCTTATCAGCCCATTTTACAGATTACGAAACTACCGCCTGCAGTTCTCCGTTTGAAAGTTACCCCTCGGGCCGCCTCCGACCATCATACCATGTAGGTGGTGAGGAACGGGAGTTTTTCATTCTCGTGGAATCCAGATTTCTGGATTCCATGGAGGTAGAGGTGTCCCACCCAAGCTGTTGCTTCGTGATGATCTGTGAGCCTTGAAGTCAAACAAGAAAGAACAATGCCTTGGACATTGTGCTCTTTTGAAGAATCATCTATGTGCAGTTTCGACGACAAAAACTCCAGAGTTAGACTAGAGCTATGTTTTAGGGTAAATCAGTAATTATCTGCATTGTTCTTCAAGAGAGTGTTGCATGTCCACAAGATATTCTGGCCCTGTTTCCATGGCATTGTGTAAATACTAGCAATAAGCTGGAGTATAAGAATCTAAAATATTCTTCTTCTTCGGAGCATTTTTTTACTCTAGTCGGAAATGTTGCCCCAGTTTGCAAATTATATGTTAAATAAACTGACTTAATATTTTTCTTTTAACAGTATTAAGGAGATCTTCTTCTAAACCAGCACGCACACACTTAAATGCTCGCAGACATAAGCACACGATTATGCAAGTATTCGGTGAACCGGGAGTTTTAGCAAACTGAAAGCCCACTTCACTTTTAAAGGAAACGCCCCTCATACCTGAGCCCCTTGCTAGCACATGCCAGTATAAACCCATTGTCGCACTGTCTTATAACTTAAAGAGAAGCTAGAAAATCTAGACTTTTTTTAATGTAAGATGTTACTTCTGAAAAAAAATTCTAAATAATGCAGGCTGAATTCAGCTCATGGGCCTCCAATTTGTGACCACCATTTTAAAAAGGATTCCTTTGGAATTAGAGGCTGGGCAAAGTATAAAATGAGTGTTTCCAACAAGATAATATTCCATGATCTTTCAGTGTGTATGCGTAGATCATTGAAGCCTGTCCGTCTGCAGATATTTTCCCAGTCAGCAGTAAAGCTGAACATCTTTTTGGAGTGTTTTAAAAAAGAAAGTGAAATCATGAAGCTCAGAAACAGGTAAACTTTTGAGGCCAGTTTCAACATTATTCCATTGTTGGCCACGTGCCTCCTTAAGTTGAAGAGGTTTTCCCTGTCCAGGTAACTTGTCATATTGCTCAGGTGACTTGTGCCTCACACAGCGGGAAAGAACCTGAGAATGACTATGCAGCACGCAAGGAGCCCTGGTGGTGCAACAGTTAAGTGCTCAGCTGCCAAAAGGTTGATGGTTTGAACTCACCCAGCTGCTCTGCCGGAGAAAGACCTAGCCACCTGCTGTCATATACCGTTTATGAGTCAAAAATGACTCCATCGCACCTAACAGCAACAACGTGCAGCATGCAGGAAATTCTCAGGGCACCCCTAGGTTTCTCCTGCTCTGCCAACTCTATAGTCTTGAAGGCTTGTTCCTACAGCTTGTATGCCTATTTTTATGACATCCTTGGTTCGTTTTGTTCTCTATGGCAGATTTGACTGTCCTTTTCCTGTAGGTTCTCATTTTGTATAAAGGTGGGGGTCTGTGGAATGACACGGACGGAGAGCACAATGCCACGCTCTGGGCTGAAGGTAGGAGGCTTTGGTCTCTCACTTTTCTGCACTGCTTCCATTCTGTCTCTTTGAAGCCTCAGCCTTACCTGAAGTCCTAGACCATCCTTAGGGAGGCCACTCTGGGATGTGCCAGCTTCGAACAATAGTAATGAGAATCTCCGAAGTCTTAGGTACCTGTGTTAACTCATTTAATCCTTAAAGCAAGTTCACACAATAGGAATCTAAGGCCAAAGAGGCTAAATAACTTTTGTCGAAAGTCATACAACTAGTAAGGGGTGAGAAGGAAAGTAAGGGGGAAAATGTGAATAAAAGAAATAGAAGAGGAAACCAAGAAACTCGTTGCCGTTAAGTTGATTCCGACTCATAGTAACCCTGTAGGACAGAGTAGAACTGCCCCATAGGGTTTCTAAGGAGCCGCTGATGGACTTGAACTGCCAGCCTTTTTTGGTTAGTAGCCAAGCTCTATAACCAATGCGCCACCAGGGCTCCAGAAGAGGAAAAGAGGTCAACAAATACTACCTGTATGGGGGGCAATGGTTCCCAGATGTCATATGTGCCGAAGGTCAGGGGCAAAGTTCTCGTCTTCCAGCCCCAAAAGAGGAAAACAAGGATGATATGGCAAAGCTTCATTTAGTCTATCCCTTTTTGGGGGTGACGGGAGAAGCAGCACTATTAGAATAACCTTTTATGAACTACTAATAGTAGTCTTTGTTTTTAATTTGCTTACTTGGCAGAATAAGGTGCTGGCAGCGCTATGTTCTTGCCTCACTAACATTTTTTACATTGTTATTGGGTGCCGTTGAGTTGATTCTGATTCATAGCAACCCCATGTGGCCCCATATGACAGAGTAGAACTGCCCCATAGGGTTTTCTAGGCTGTAATCTTTACGGAAGCACATCGCCAGGTCTTTCTCCCGCAGAGCTGCTAAAAAAACAAAACAAAACCCATTGCTGTTGAGTAGATTCCAACTCGTAGTGACCCTATAAGACAAAGTAGAACTGCCCCACAGAGTTTCCAAGGAGCGCCTGGTGGATTCAAACTGCCGACCTTTGGGTTAGCAGCCATAGCTCTTAACCACTATGCCACCAGGGTGTCTTCAAACTGCTAACCTTGCAGTTAGCAGCCGAGCACTTAACTGTTGCACCACCAGGGCTCCTTGTTTTTTGTTTTTGTTTTTTTTACCTTACTGGATACAAACTGAGCCGGCCAAGCACAGCAAGAGGCTCAGGGCTAGGCCCTGGGGATGTGAAGTCATTTTGCACAGCAAGAGCAGGCCTCCTTTGTGTTTCTTGAATGAAAGAGAAGGAAGTGAAGCAAGGAAGAGGCACTGAGTAGATGGGACCTGAGCTCAGGCAGGCAAAGGTAAGAATCAGAGAAGCTGAGGGCAGAGAAGAGGGACACTGTAGGAAGGCAGAGTGGTGTGAGCAGAGGCAGGGGGTGGCCAGAAGCACTAGGGAACTCAGGTGCCCAGGTGGTAGAGTCCCAACAGATGCTCTGCTCTGTGGGCCGCTCACTACCGGGCGGCCTCTGGTCGGATCAGAACCTCTCCCTCCACCATCTACACCTGCTTTGTCCAAGTCTATAGCCACTAGCCATCATTGGCATGAAATTTTAATTTAATTTAAATTAATTTGAGCATTAAAACTGTAGCCGAGTAAAATTATATATATTGATTACATATTTTGGGTGTGTGTGTGTTAGGTGCTGTGGAGTCAATTCTCAGTTAGCCCATGTGACATAGTAGAACTGCCCCATAGGGTTTTCTTGGCTGCAATCTTTATGGAAGCAGATCACCAGGTCTTTCTCCCTGGGAGCCACTGGGTGGGTCAGAACAACAAACCTTTCAGTTAGCAGCTGAGCACTTAACCACTGCACCACCAAAGCTCCTTATTTTGGATATGTTGTATTGTTAGGTGCCGTTGAGTCAGTTCCAACTCTGTGTACAACCCAACGAAATACTGCCCAGTCCTGCGCCATCCCTACAATCCTTGCTATGCTTGAGCACATTGTTGCAGCCACTCTATCAGTCCATCTCGTTGAGGGTCATCCTCTGTTTCAGTGACCCTCTACTTTACCAAGCACGATGTCCTTCTCCAGAGACTGGTCCCTTCTGATAACATGTCCAAAGTACATGAGATGAAGTCTCGCCATCCTTGCTTCTAAGGAAAATTGTGGCTGTACTTCCAAGACAGATTTGTTCATTCTTCTGGCAGTCCATGGTATATTCAGTATTTCTCACCAACACTGTAATTCAAAGGCATCCATTCTTCTTCGGTCTTCCTTATTCATTGTCCAGTTTTCGCATGCATACGAGGCAATCAAAAATACCATGACTTGGAACAGGAGCACCTTAGTCCTCAAAGTGATATCCTTGCTTTTCAACACTTTAAAGAGGTCTTTTGCAGCAGATTTCCCCGGCACAATACGTCGTCTGATTTCTTGACTGCTGCTTCCATGGGCATTGATTTTGGATCCAGGTAAAATGAAGTCCTTGACTACTTCAATATTTTCTCCATTTATCATTAAACGAATAATTTCTTTCATAAGGATCAGCACAAAGCTGGTTCCTATGAGGTGGAGGTTGCTATCAAAAAGTTCCTTGTTTATCTCCCTAGTTTATCAATACTCTTTATCCCCGTAGTTTCTTTTATTAGGAAAGACCAAAAAAAAAAAAAAAAATAACTGTTGTCATCAATTCCGACTCATAGCGACTCAGTAGGAGAGAGTAGAACTGTCTCATAGGATTTCCAAGGAGCGGCTGGTGGATTCAAACTGCCAACCTTTTGGTTAGCACTGTAGCTCTTAACCACTGTGCCATGGTACTTAGGTAAAAAGTACTTTTAGGTCCACGTGATTTGCTTTATGTAAGGTTTTTGTTTTTTAAAATTAAATGGATTCCTTGCTTAAAGGGAGACTCACACTCAGGATTGCATATATTCCTTTATTTAAAGAAAAAAAAAAAGGCTTCTATTATCCTGTTTCCACAGCAGGATAAATAAGATGCTGCCTTTTAGCACTTCACACCGTGCCTGGCTTATAGTGGATATTAGGGCCTGTCAGGTCACAGGTGTGTAAAAATTTTGGCTGAATCAGTATCATGTGAGTTTGACATCTGAGTGGCGTGACTTCTTTTAAATTTCAAAATGGCACCATGTTTGGCTTGGGGCGCAAGTAAATACTAAAATGTGGATTGAAAGATAACTCATTGCTTTGGTATGAAAATAGAAACGACTTCCACAACCTGATGTTCGAAATTCTTTTATTTTTTTTTAAGCATAAAATATACATATTCAGATTTATAAATTTGTTTTATTCTAAATGATACCAGTTTTAGGCTACTGTTTTCAAGCACATCTCTGAAAATAGCATGTTTTGGGAGGGATAGATTTTATTCCCAATAAATGAGAAGCTAGGTTGTAATTAATCATATTTTCTCCCTTTCACCTTTGTTTTTTTTTGTTTAAAAGAACTAGACACTTCTCAATGGGCTACATGATGACTTTGTCCAGATGAATGTTGCTTACCTATATGGTGAAGAGTATCTTGAAGTAAATATGCAGACTCATTTTCATTAATTTGTATTTCAACCTTGGTGTATTTTCTGCTTCCCTGCCTTTAACTAATGACTGTTATGAACACAATTAAATAACACGTGTCTGAAAAAGAGCCCTAGTGCTGCAGTGGGTAAGAGCTCGTCTGCTAACAAAAGGTCGGCAACTGGAATCCACCAGCCACTCCTTGAAAACCCTATCAGGCAGTTCTACTCTGTCCTGTAGGGTCGCTATGAGTCAGAATCGACTCAACGGCAATGGGTAGAAATACATTAAACTGTGTTAAAGCTCAAAAACTCTGTGGCAGCAGGGAGTGTTTAGCTGAGCAGCACACTGTGAAGATGACACGTGGCAGGGCCACACGCACTGGTCTGCCTTCACCAACTATTGTGCATGCGAGTGCAGGATCGACTCTGAGGCTTCCACCAATTCTACTTTCTTGGAAGAGACACTACACACATTCATAACAGACAGAAGTGAAAAAGATGTACTTGCTGCCTTTAAAGGTGCGCGGAGGTGGGGGACTCTGTTGTGAACATAGCTCCTCCTGGTGTCTGTGGTGGCACACAGCCCACCTCACACTGAGAGGCGCTCATCCCCAGCCAACCAAACTCTGTCTTCACATCCCACCTCACAGCAGTCTCAGGCCAGGACAGTGATGACACACAAACACCTGTGACTTCTTCTGGTTACCCTAGAAACCTACCCGGGGTGCTCTGAGGGCCAGCGGCAGAGCTGAAAGGCTGAAACAGGGCCGGGAAAGAGTCTCTTCAGGAAGAGGACGATCCACGCACTGGAGAGCAGCGTAGGGGGCGGGCGCGGAGAGGAAGAGTGAAAAGCAAAGATGCTGTATGTGAAGCTGGCGATCGACAGGGCCATGGCCGAAGCGAAAGACGCCGCAGAGAGAGAGCGCAAGGTTGCGAGTAGCATGGATGGGACCAAAGATGCTGTCAGGAGAGGAGCCGGGTGGGGGGGAGCCCCCAAAGGATCGGCAGGCAGCACTGGCCTCACCCTTCCAGCCTCCGCTGGTGACAGACTCAGAATGGCTGTGTCTGAGTGCAGAAGATCAGTAAGTGTTAGGTCCCTTCCTTTGGAGTAAAGACAAGAGTGTTCATTTATTTGGGAACGAGTGTAGTATAGGGAGAGAAGGGATATGCTCTGGAGTCACACAGACACAAACCCCGCCCCTGAAACCAACCCGGGGACCCTCGCCAAGTCCCCTGACCCTTTCTCGGCCACAGTTCTCTCTACCGTGAAATGGGGGATAATGAGTTGTTGGGAAGTAAAATAATCCATTTAAGTTAATAGCACAGTACCTAGTAAACTCAATAAATGTTGCTATGGCAACAATACTATAAGAACCTCTTAGAAAAGCATGAAAGAAATATGGGTCTGTCTCTTTAAGAAAGGAATTAAACCAGTTGCCCTAGAGTCGACCCCAACTCATGGCCACCCCATGTGTGTCAGAGTAGAACTGTGCTCCTTCGGGTTTCCAAGGAGCAGCTGGTGGGTTTGAACTGCTGACCTTTTGGTTAGCAGCCAAGCTCTTAACCACTGCACCACCAGGGCTCCAAGAGCTCTCAAGGATGCCTAAATGTGACTGTGCTCAATCTTAAGTGACAAATTTCTCTGCTTTATTTTTCTGCATTAAATTCTAAAAAACAAAGTTTTTTTGCTGTCACATTGTTTTATCTTCCTAAAGTGTAACCCTTTGACAAGAATCACGAAACACATTTGGATAACTTGCTGGAAATTAATAGCTTATAAATTATATTTGTTAATAGCTTTATACATAACTGAACTTAAAATGGACTTACCAACTTTGAAAACTTACTTTCTCATCAAAGCTAAATTCTCTGTTCTACCAACAATATAAAAAACAGTGGCCTATAGTATTTGAAACAGCAACTTGGTCTCCCCTCCTCGGTGTTAAAATAAAAGTGCTAACAAAATGAGACCAAGGGGACACACCAGCTCAGGGTCAAGGGCGAGAAGGCAGGAAGGGACAGGAAAGCTGGTAATGGGGAACCCAGGGTTGAGAAGGGGAGAGTATTGACATGTCATGGGGTTGGCAACCACTGTCACAAAACAATGTGTATTGTTTAATGAGAAACTTATTTGCTCTATAAACCTTCATCTAAAATACAATAAAAAAGGAAGGGTACTTCTGACAGTCTCAACCTAAACAAAACAACCTAAACACAACATGGCTTTTTGTTTATACTTTTATCAGAAAGTATTCCTTCCTTGCTTTGGGACCAACCAAACACCAAGGCAGTTGCCATCGAGTCGATTCTGACTCATAGCGACCCTACAGGACAGAGTGGAACTGCCCCATAGGGTTTCCAAGGAGCAGCTGGTAGATTCAAACTGCAGACCTTTTAGTTAGCAGCTGAGCTCTTAACCACTATGCCACGAGGGCTCCTGCTTTAGGACAAAGGAAAGTAAAACATATTAGAGCCCTGCCTATTGTCCCAGAAATACCTTCTGCTACATATGGTAACTGGATCCCAAATCAACTCCCTAATACAATTCATACCAGAGTAGAAGTTTCCTGAAACCTTTCTCCAAATCCTAGTACAACTTTTTTCTCATCTTCTCTAGATTGGCCTGGGCCAAAAGTATTCAAGACCCTCGGATTGCAGTGGATCCCCAATCCCCACTAGAAAAGAAGATTCAGGTGAGGAAATACATTTACCACGAAATTTGGAGCTAATAACAGGATCCTGAAAAGGTACCGCCAGGGTAGAGAGGGCTTGAGTGCTTCAAGGGGAAGGGCTTCGTCTGCTGTGTTCAGTTCTGCGACTGGTCCACTAAGCACCTCCTCGTGCCGGCTGGACAGTGAGGAACAAAATCAACAACCGCTCACGCCTTCACGGGGCTGGGTCTAGTGAGGGAGGTTGACGTTAAACAAATAGTCTCCACAAATTAACACAGTACGTGTCGTGAAAGGATGGGGTTTTATGAAAGTGTATGTGGAAGGCCCGAGGAAGTGACAATTAAGCTAAAACCTAACAAATATATCCATAGGTGCCATAGTCAGAGCTGCTAGATTGTGTATTTAGGAGCATATGAAGGAACAGGAAGTGAAAATTCAGCTTTTGTATGAGAAGAGAGCACAGCTTTTTGGAAGAGAAAAGTCGGTGTGGCTGGAACGGAGTCAGCAAGTGGTTAAACTGAGAAAGTTGTGTGGAGAGGTCATCAGGGACCATCCTGAGAATTCCTTCCGGATTGTCTCCTGGGAGGATGAGCACCCTCTCCCAGGCTTTTGTGCTGGAAAGTGACATGCTCAAATTTAGGTAATAAAAAGATCACTGCCTTTTTGCTGAGGCATTGGGTTTACACTAATGGTGGTGGAGTGATTTGGAAAAGGACAGCGCGAATGGTTGTACAACATGAAGAATGTCATTAATATCACTCAACTGTAGACAAAGACATTGTCGAATTGGCGAATGTTTTGTGGTGTATATTTTCACAATTTAAAGAAAGATCACTTTAGCTGCAGTGTGACAGTCCTGGTTGGTGGGCAAAGGGAGGGAATTGCAGAATTAGGGACACTAGTTAGGGTACCCCCTAGGCTGGGGGCAGCAGGCTGAAGTGCAGCCCATGGATGTGAGAGGTCTTTTGTTGGAGTCTGAAGTGACAAGACTGGGAAGGGGGAAACTGAAGGGAAAACACTCTGCAGTAAGAGACAAAGTGGAGATGCCAAGTAGGCGAGGCACGAAGTTAAGAGGCGAGGGCAGGGCAACCTGTGTACCTTGTCTGTCTCGTCATCATCATCCCAAGCTCTAGAGCCATCCTGACACATGGTCAGGCACCTGGAGGAATGACCGAGGCCGTCCATATCCAGGGAAGCTGAAATGTGACCATGCTGTACCTTACCTGACGGTTTTCTCTGCTACATTGTCCTGCATTACATTTAAAAGAACCAGAAGAAAGTGGAAGTGTTTCAGGGAGGAGAGAGTGGTCACCTCTGGTGAAAGCTGCTGAAAGGTCAAGTGTGATAGGAACAGAGATGGGACCACTGAATGCGGCCATGCAGAGATCACTCGTGAGCTAGATATGCGCAGCCAAGAGAAGTGCTGGGGGGATGGAAACCCAAGTGGGACGGACTGAGGAGAAAATGTGAAGCGATTATAGCTAACACCTTCAAAGAAGTTTACTATGAAGGAGACCAAAAAAAGGGGGTAGAAGCTAGAGAGTGATGTGCCATAAAGGAAGTTTCCTTTTTTGTTTAAAGATGATGTCTACTGAAGTGTGTTTTCACGCTGATGGGAATGATCCAGTAAAGGGGAGATTCTGATGGTGCAGGAAAGGGAATTTGATTAATTGCAAAACTGAAGTTGTTGATGCTCAAAAAGCACATGTAGAAGAGTTGGCTTTTGATAGGTGAAGGGGTAAAGTTTCCATTGTAAAGGTGGGAAGGCCAAGTCTGCGTATAGATGGAAGATGGTTGTCTTGGCAGCGGGAAGAGGAGGGCATTCCTGAGTAACTGCTTCTGCTTCCTCAAGGACGTCTAAGGCAAAGTCTTTAACCAGAAGGAAACAGTGGAAGAGGGGAGTGTTGGAGGCTTGAGGAGGAAGACCTGAAACATGGTTAGGGGACTTAGCTGGGGCATGGTTGGGGAGTGCCAGGCAGAGCCGACAGCCCCCTGGAGATCTGTGCACGGAACTACGATAAGGGACATCCAGCTTAAAAAACTCTAATATTTGCCTTCGACAAGAGTTTAGGTGGTGTCCAGTCTTCAGAAGTAAGGAAACTGTTAGCCCAAAAGTTTCAACAGGAAAACAAAACACTTGATAAGCTTAAGGCCATGTCTTTTGACTTGCGGTTTGCCAAAGCAGAGGCATACTACTATCAACGGTATCAAGAAATGATGATGGAAGAATGGAAATACAATATGGTTCCCCAATGGGAAATCAAAATAAAGGAAGAAGAAAAGAGACCACAAAGTCAAAAGACAGAAGATGTTAAAAAATGGGACTATCTAGTGCCTGAAATGGAGCTCCATCAGACAGAGAAGCACATTTACCGAGCCGAGCGCGCCAGAGGCCTCAGGGACCACAGAGACCGCCTACTCCCACAAAGAATTCCCACTGAAATACTTTCCCCCAAAATATTATCACTGGAGAAGGTTGAAAAGAATGAAAACATCCAGAAAACACCCAAAGCTAAAACTGAAAAGCACAAGGTGTTACAGGCGAAAAAACAGATAAAGGGACATCGAGAGCGAATGATTCGAGGGCGAGAGCTCACAGAGCAGAGGAATGATAAAAAGGATGCTCAGAAACTCTCTAACCGAGTCCCTCCTTGCCAAAAGTCTCTAGTGGAGAAAGAGATGAAAGAGTTTGAATGGGTCACAGCCTATCCAATTGTCCAGCCTTACGAGAAAGCCCTCATAGAAGTGACTATTATGATGGAAAAGGCAAAAAAAGAGGATAAAATTGAAAAGCCACTCCGAAGGGAGCTCTTGAGCATGCCACCGTTTTTGAGAAGTCAACTAGAAAAAAATAAAGTTTAAGTTATTTTCATGATTATTGCATGCCTTTTTCATACTAGCATACTTTCATAGTTGTTAGTACAGTTACATCCTGTACCCCCTAATTTCGTCTCTAAATGGATCAAACTGGCAAAAAAAAAAAAAAGTTAAACCACAGGCACTGTATCCCCAGGTGTTCCAGCTAGCTACCTAGCCAACAATTTAGAGGAGATGGAACAGAAGCTTCAGGAAGGGTCACGATAATCTTTAAGACGGGAGAGAGATGCGCATGGTTGAAGGCAGATGGTGTGTAAACCATCGGCAGAATCATATGAAATTGCTGATATCTCATCATTTTTCACCTAACTTTACAGCTAAAGAGATGTAAAAAGAACCATAACGATCCATTATGCCCTTATCCATTAGGCCATTAACAACCTAAGTATAACTTTCAATGGGACACGATTGGAGAAAGGAGAAGTCCCCCCTGCCACCCACCACTCCATGATCAGAAAATAAAGAGTAACTACAATTATACTGTGAACATGGCAGTGAATTTCCTTTAATCAAAGACAACCATGACAAATTAACTATCAAAAGCTACATTTTACTAAAAACAATCTGTCCTTAAAAATGTGTAATCATACAATATGTACAATACATGCTGCTTTTCTGTTTGCATTTCACTATCCATTTGAGTCCTAAAAAAAAGGAGGAGGGCAAGAAATAGCTGGTTAAGAGTTTATAAATAACAAAGTTCATTTAATACACACAAATGAAAGCTAATAGCTACCCCCTCGTCGGTAAGGAGGGCCTCGGTTAACCACGTTACACATGCATCTATTCTTCCCAAGGTCATAGAGCTAATAAGGGGGCAGAGGCACGATCATCTAGGACTCCTGACTCCCATACCCAGCTGTGTGCAGAATGCCAGATCATTGCTAAGACTTCTCAGAAATGTTTCCCTTCATAAAAATGAAGAGTACAGCATAACTCAGATTTCAGAAATGCCCATTTATTAACATCATTCCAAGGTAATTCTGTCCTAACCACCCTTTTCTCCTTTGTACCTATAAAATAATGGGACTGTGAACAAAACTTACCTAATCTACCACTGTATTGGGGGAAAAAATGGCAGACCAAGAACAAACACCCACTGGGTCTCTTTCAACAGCAAATCTTAAGATCACCAAAGCATCAAGTCCTATGAGTGGAACCTGTAACCACTATGCCCTGCCTCACCTTTCTCCCCAGTTATGGACGGTTCTAGGAACCTAAGAACGGGGCACCCAAGAGATGCAAAAATCCAGATTTCTCAGGAATGGGAAAAAGGAGGATGCCTTGGCATGCCAAATAAACCTGGACAAAACTGTGCAGCCGTCCATCAGAAGCAATACCTTGGGTTGCATCAAGTGCTCAGCCTCTGCTGGCTCTGACTTGAGGCAATCACAGCCTCTGAGATCTCAAAGGTCTTCACAATCTCCTGGCAGAGAACACAGAATGTTTAGGCGCCGGCTTCAACGCGAAGCAGGACGGGTAAGAAGGACGCCGGGGCGGCATGCACAGCTTTACCTCCCAGTCCCGGTAAGTCAGAGCTATAATTCCTTGATGCCTAATTTGGGTGTTATGGTCAACTCCCTCGTTTTCTTCGTTAATATTAACAGGCTCTGTTTGAAAGACAAAGTTTTCAAAGGTTATTAAATCAGAAGAGGTAATTCAGGCAGAAACTGATGAATAACGGGATCGAAACCTGTCCTGAGAAAATGTAATTGTTGTTGTTGTCACGTGCCGACAAGTCAATTCCAACTCACAGAGACACTATGGGACAGAGTGGAACTGCCCCATAGGGTTTCCACGGCTGTAATCTTTATGGGAACAGACTGCCACATCTTTCTCCCATGGAGCAGCTGGTGGGTTGGAACCAACGACCTTTCGGTTAGCAACAGAGTGCTTAACCACTGCACCACCACGGGTCCTTATAATAAAAAAACAAAACAAAACAAAACAAAAAACCCATTGCCATCAAGTCAATTCCGACTCATAGTGACCCTAAAGGACAGAGTAGAACTGCCCAATTGGGTTTTCCAAGAAGCGCCTGATGGATTTGAACTGCCGACCTTTTGGTTAGCAGCTGTAGCTCTTAACCACTACGCCACCAGGTTTTCCGCTCCTTATAATAGTACATACTTAATTAGGATTCTGTGCATTAGTAAGCTATTATAGTATTATTAGAGAGCAAGTAATCTCATTTGCTTCTTTCTGTTAAAAAACAAAACAAAACTATAGAGTAACACATTCTAATCATTTGAAAATCTCTGCCTATCTATGTGCCAAACACAGAGCTAAGCCCTGGTGAGTCTAATATGAAACTGAGAACATTGAAAGTAACAAATACGTGCAATGAGAGTACATCCTTCTCTACAGGAGACCTTAGAAGGGCAGGAGTAATGGAGAGTGTGAAATTACTCGAGTAAGAATTAAAAATTCACAGACCCTCAGGGAGAGGAGGAGGAGCTCACATCAGGGGAAGAGTGTTTAGAAGGAAGGAAATGACAAAAACGACTGCAAATTACAAACTTTTCTAAATTAAAATTTGAGGGAAATCCTATCACTTCTTATGATGTTGAATCAGTGATACAGATCAACCCATCGAAGTTTTAAACTGTAATCATATTTCCAGTATCATGTATTTTCAGTTAGTTGCACAAGATAAACAAAATAAGTTTGCTACCTACAATGAAAGCTCATTTACACTCACCCATGAGTATTATGCGCCTTTAAAAAAAAAAAGTCATCTATGAGACCTAACACTCAACATTTACCCTAAGGCAAAGATGAGACGGTCGGGGGAGCAAGGAAGCTAGATTAATGGAAACGGTACAACCAGAACAGAATAAATGAGAATGTTAACACACTGTGGAAAATGTAACCAGTGTCTCTGAACAAAATGTACAGAAATTGTTAAATGGGAACTCAATTTGCTGTGTAAACTTTCACCAAAAACACAACAAAATATTTTTTTAAAACACTCATTTACATCTAGTAAAAAATCAATTTCATAAACTAATGGCAAATATGATTTCTCTAAAATTAATTTTTCTGAACGTATCACCACTTACCTATTACTGGCAGTCGATCTTCGTCAAGTCTTATTCTTGCAAAGCCATCCTAAAACATAAACATGATTTTAGGTGAAGACCAAAATTTAGATTCAAATCCTGTAACTATTAGCTGAAAAAAATTCAATTAGAAAACTCTATCTCAGATACTCAAAATGTACCCTAACAATAAGAGGGAGATGATAAGGACAAGACTTCTCTAACATCTTTTTTTTACACAGGGCATCTCTTGGATTTCTAATCAGCTCTTCCACCCAGACACAGCCTCTTAAATAAAACTAACCATCTGACCTCTGATTCAAACATATCTGATTTGGGATACTGCACATTATATTATGCATAATTCTATCACTTGCCGTTGATAAAATACGCCTTTGTTATCATTTCTGAAGAATACTTTGGTCAACACAAGATTTTATCTAAGGTTAAAATGGAAGTCATCTAACATGCCCAGGAACGTACCCTGATGTAAAACTGCAGTCTAAAGCAAATTCCCATAGCACATGTCTGAATGGGGTTTTTTTTGAAGCCTTCATTTTGCAGATATTTCAAAATTAAAGAAGAGTTGCAAGACTGGTGATAAAGATCTCCCATACATCCTTTGCCCAGATTCACCAGTTGTGAAAGCTTTGGCACATTCGCTTTCTCACTGTCTCTCTCTGTTATATTTTCTATGAGCCATGTGAGAGTGAGTTGCAGATGGCCTGCCCTTTCCCCCTACTACTTCTGCATGTGTTTCTTGAGAAAAAGGATGCTTTCTTACTTGACATGACAACTATCAAATTCAGGACATTCAACATTTACACCACACTGTTAAGGACCCCTCGTGGCGCAATGGTTAAGCAGCTCAGCTGCTAACCGGAAGGTTGGCGGTCTGAACCCACTCAGCAGCTCTATGGGAGGAAGACCTGGCGATCTGCTTCTGTAAAGATTATAGCCTAGAAAACCCTATGGGGCAGTTCTACTCTGTTACATAGATTGCTGTGAGTTGAAAATTGACTTGGTGGCACCCAAAAACCACCACCATAAGGTTGTATATATTCCCATATTCAAATTTTGCTAATTCCTTCTCTAACTTCTACATGCAAACGCTCGTACACAAATTTCTAGCTAGTTTCTTCTGCCTACGTATCAATTAATGTTTGCAACAAATGGGTTTAAACAACATACTGGTTAGCACAAATACCTTTGCCAGTCCCATCCATAGCTTTTATGATTTACCCTTTTAAAAGTGTATAAAAGCAATAAGAGAAACAGTCTTAAATCTTACCCTTATAATGAAGGAAACGTGAAAGATGTTTTCTACTGTACGGGGAAAAGAATGTGGATCAATCACAAAGTCAAAGAAGGACATGGGCGTATCAGCTATAGAAAAAAGAGAAAAAAGTTCATCAAAACAGGACAAATTATTTTTGCTTATCAAACTGGCACAAATGTTACACCCAGTGCTCTGTACTGTCAGCCAGAGAGAGAGAGACGAAGTGGGCACTTATCCTGTTGGGGGTGTAAGTCCACCGTTCTGGAGGGGAATTAGGTGATATCTGTTAAAATCCGTATGCCCACTTTCCTGGTGATCCCCCTTTAAATAGGTGTCCTACAGAAATATTAGCACAAAGATATGTACAGATACTTCACTTCAGCAATTTACACAAGAGTAAAATGCTGTAAAGAACTTTACTAGCCTATCAGGAGAGCCTCAGTTAAACATATTTCTGATATAGCCACACAATGGGAATCGCTGAGAAGAATAAGAGTCCCCGGGTGATGCAAACTCAGCTGCTAACTGAAAAGGTTGGCAGTTTGAGTCCACCCAGAGGCACCTTGGAAGAAAGTCCTGGCAATCAACTTTCAAAAACTCAGCCATTGAAAACCCTGTGGAGCACAGTTCTACTCTGCCACACATGGGGTCACCATGAGTCAGAATGGGTTCGACTGCAACTTGTTTTTTTTTTTTGGTTTATATGTATTGATATGGAAGGATGCTCTCACTGAAAAGTCATGTTGCAGAAGAGTGTGTATATTATGATCAGCTTTGAAAAAGGCAAAAAAAACACCTATTTATATGTATGTGTATGTTTGCATGACTGACATAAATAGAAAAAAAATCTGAAAAGATACACATTTTTTTAAAGTGGCTGCCTACAGGGAGAGGAGGGTGGGATTAGGTACTTCTTAACCTTTCTCACTCCTGTGGCATGTTTTAGTTTTAACAGAAAAAAGTAACCCATCTTCTAGAAATACAAATGAAAAGTTACTTTACCTACGTTCTCACAAGGGATTTCTAAAGGAGAAGCCCCATTAAATGCACATGTCAAGAAGGAATCAAAATGATTCCAACATTACAGACAGCTGAAAATGCCTTTTTAATAAAAATACTTTCTTATGAAAGCAATACACAACCTGCTCCATTTCAACTTGGTGTCAGACTTACGATCTTCTTGAAAATAGGTTTGCAACAATCCCAAGATTCTTTCTACTTCTTTTTCTGTTGCTTCTTGATGAGATTCTTCCATTCTTTTTAACTGAAAAATAAAGTCATTATCAAGCCAACTGATCTACTTGTTTGCCTGTCAACCTTTTCTTCTCTCCTGTTCACCCAGACCCCTCTAAATATCTTTGGTTGGGAATTGCTAGCAGTTTCTATTCCCACCTTAAAATTTACAATTTATAAAAAAAAGAAAAGATTTCCTAGTTTCAGTAACATTTTTATATTAATTGCTTAATAGAAAAGTAACATTACCAAACCAACCATTTTCAGGTTGAACATAAAATAGCAAAACATAAACGGGGCAGTTTGGAACAATGGTTCTCAATCGGGGGTGATTTCACCCCCCATAAGACATTTGCAAATATCTATAGACGTTCTTGGTTGCCACACTGAGGGGGAAGGATCTTATTGGGATCTAGTAGGGTAGAGGCCAAGAAATGCTGTTACACATCCTACAATGCACAAGACAGCCCCTCGCAACAAAAAAGTTATCCAGCTCGAAATGTCGATGGTGCCAAGGTCGAGAAACCCTGGTTTAGAAGAACTAATCAAAATTACAGAAATGAGTTAAAACAAAGACAAGTGTTCAATCCAACAAAACGTTTAAAGGCTTATATAAAATGATTATTTAAGTGACAAAACCTAACTCCCTACGACTTAGAACAGAAAAGACAGCAAAATTGAAGGTGCGTTATATTAGTGGCTATTTTATCTTTAGGTACTTTCAGAAGCAACATTTAAGGAAACAAACCTGGTCAGGCATTGCCCTCTGCTCTTCTGTCGTACGAACTTTTTTTGGACGATCGACTCGTGGCTTTGGCACAGGGAGCTCTCCTTGTATTGAACCCAACCTAATGAAAAGAGTGCTGTCATGTCTTTATTGTTGTTGTTTTAAACAAACTGATTTCACTAACTAAAAGCAGTCCCCAAGGTAGAGTCAAATTCAGACCAGGCATCAGTGAGTGATACATGGAGCTGACATCAGACCAAGACTCTGGGTACTTAGTTCATGACATCCTCTCTGCTCCCTTTGTGTCTCTCAAAGAACTTCTAGGAGCTTTACTCAACCACAGACACTGCCTCAAACACCCTCAATTTGCCCTGAACAGTAAGCCAATGAGCGTGCCTGTGAAGTCTTCCCAGTTAGTCTCATGTCTATCTTGGAAAGCCAACTTCAGAGGCCAAGGAAGGATGACATGTTGGGATGAGGAATGGAACAGTTCAAGTGGGGTCTAGGGTGCCAGGGCCGAGGCTCAGAGCCTGGGACAACAGGTCTCCAACACATGTGTCTTAGGACAACAGGTCAAGCAGAGGCCATGGGATTCCTTTCCCTTTGGGAGTCTCCCCACCAAAAAAGCCCTAATGCAGACTTAAGCTGTGTAACGGATGTATGAAGTAGAGACCAAGGCCCTGAGAATATAGACCCATGTGATCCCTACACTTGAAGAGATGGAAGTATACATTATAGATGGACAGATATGTAGTCACATACAGACACATTTCAACAATATGGTAGACCCCACAGTGCTGTAATGGAGCATCACTCAAGAGGTATGAGAGCATCTGGGCAGAGATGTCTACCTATACATGGTAGTGATCTGGTTGAGAAATCTGATCCTACACTGGTACCTCTGTCTGGACGAGTTACTGGTGGCTTCTGAGTTGAAGCCTGTGGGATAAGTAAACCTCATCAAATGAAAAAGGGAGAAAGGACATTGTACGCAGAGGAAACAGCGAATGCAGAGGCTCAGAGTTGTAATATTTCATTGTGGCTGGGATTTGGGCTGGATGATGAAAGTTTAAGTCACACCACAAAAGACTTCATCTTTAGATCCTAGAATTTATGACAGAGCCTACCCCTCAACAGCAAAACACAAAGATTTGGTCTTTGTCCTATAATAAAAAAACTTGGTCTTTATCCTATTATTTATATATATATAAAGGGTTCTGGAGTCACCTGAAGGCTTGTTAAAAACAGATGCCTGGTCCCACACCCCAGATCTACTATATTTACATCCCCAAAGCCTTCTAACTGAGACACTGCCAATCCTAGGAGGTTTAGGAGGGTGAATCAGAGTAGACACATGCCTGGGACCTACATCACGTATGGAAGAAATGACCGAAACAATGGGATGGTTACCCTACAGAAAGTATGTGCTGGGGAACACAACCAATGAATGTTCTAGAAGGTTGTTTTACAAAAGAACCAGTAAGAGCTCTTCTTGGTTCCTCCATAAGACTGTGGCAGGAAGTTAGGACAGCCAATTTCCTTGAATATGAAGAAAAACTTTTCAAAATTAGAGGTGTAGCCAAAAAATGAAGTGGGCTGTTGATGTGACATTGACTCAACTAGTATTCAAATATGGTCAGTGATTATCCATTAGGGACTCATAACAACTTCCATGTTACGTCTATTGGTGCACTCTCTTACGATACCTTAGTAGGAGGTATCCTCGTCCTACGTGGTAAGGACTGTAAAGATAACAAAACAAAACAAGAGACAATGTGCCACAGACCTGAAGTCACAGCTAAGAAAGCAAAGGAGCCCAGACAGTCTTGGTAAGGAGGCTCCAGCCCATGGCCTTTCCTGCTAACACAGGACAGGGTGGCCTTTAAAGTTCCATCCCCATCAAGAGTTTAGGCGTTTTTAAATGGCATCATGATCATCTCCTCTACAATACCAAGCATCATCTTTATCTCTAAAATAAACAATTAAAGGTTTACAAATGGCTGGTCTGTCAGATTTTGAAAATATCTTACAGAAAGTGGAATGTATGGGTTTTATTAAAGGTGTTTTCTGCTGTTTTGCCTGATATTTTCCAGGAGTCATAGACTATCAATTCAAAATCAGAACTATCTTCATCACGGATGAGTTCTTCAGCTTCTAGCGGATTTACACCCATATGTGTCAGCTACAAAAATGAAGGAAAACAAAAAACCCCAGTTAAGCCACAAGACAATCATTCACTACATCCAATTATCTGTATCACTACAACTTTAAGAGGTCAGAGACAACACCTGTTTTCAGTGTTCCAGCATGTTGGCTAAATTCCTTATTACAAAGATAATTTTATATGGAAATTCCTATCTTATTTTTAGCAGAAAATATTCCTTAACATACTTAGGGGACGTTTGGTGACAACGTGAGATGTTCCAGACCAGTGGCTCTCAACCAGGGCCATTCTGCTCCCCAGGTAGCATCTGTCAATGTCTGGAAATATTTTTGGTTGTCACAACTGGGGTAGGGGTTACTACCGGCATCTAGTGGGGAGAGACCACAGATGCTGCTCAGCATCCTACAATACACAGGATAGCCCCCACAACAAAGACTTACCCAGCCCAGAAGGTCCATAGAGCCGAGGCTGAGAAGTCCAGCTCTACTTCACTGGCAGGCTGAGGGCTTAGGTATGCCCTAAAAAGAACTAAGCCCATCGGAAATTTTTGGATCACAAGTATAGTTCATTTTGAAAATATTAATAAAGCTGTACTAGCTTAAAAAGATAAAATCACACCCAAATCAAAAGCTCTAAGACAGAACAGGGAAGTTGAGCTGGCTTTCACATTTTAATTTTTAACCAATCTCCTAGAGCACCCTAGTGATGTCTACTGAGCTTGTATCTCAGTCTATCCTGAGAGCAGTGGCCCAGCATCAGTGAGAGAATCATCCATCTTAAAAGTGCTCCCTGGGAGGAGCTGGTGGATATCTAACAATTTTCTCATTTTGACCTATTACACTGAATTTACCTTTATGAAAGTACCCTTTGACTGTATTATACTATAAACTACTTAGAAGTTATCAAATTACAATGGCCATAGCATATGGAAGCAATAATCACAAAGACCTCAGAGAGCTTAACCCTATTAAAGGTAACCACACTTTGAAGAAAAGATGCTACAAGATCCTGACTGGAGTGCAGCCTTCAGTTCCCCTCCATTCTGCCACCTGGCCCTAGCACCACAGCCTGTGGAAGGAACACTTACATTTATATCCAGTCAAATCTACCATCTTTTCTTTATAGTGTTTGTATTTGGTGTTAGACTTGGAAAGGTCTTCACCACCCTGAGATTGTTGTTGCTGGGTGTCATCGAATTGATTCTGACTCATAGCAACCCCATGTCACAGAGCAGAGCTGCCCCATAGGGTTTTCTTGGACGTAATCTTTACGGGAGCAGATCGCCAAGTCTTTCTCCCACAGAGCCGCTGGGTAGCTTTGAACCGCTGACCTTTCGGTTAGCAGCCGAGTGCTTAACCTCGTGCCACCAGGGCTCCTTATCCTGAGATGAGACAGCTATTAATTTGGAATTTTATACTTAATGCTATAAAACTTCTGGAACTTATTTCAGTATATACAGTACAAAGCTTAAACTGGTAAATAAAAATAAATTTACAAAAATAACTCTATGGTCACTTTATGTATGGAGCTGTACATTAGCGAGCATTTTTCTAAATGCATTATGCTTAACAATGAAAAAGAAAAAAAAGGAAGAAAGAAAATTCTAAGGATTTAAAAACAATAAATTGAAATGCTCATCTGCCTTGTGCAAAATAATTACTTTATCAGGCCAGGCCTCACGGTACTAAATCCTTTTAATAAGCACTTAACTGACATGAACATCCAGCCAGAAATTAAATGTTCACACCAAGCTGCATCTATCTGTGATCTGTGTTAGGGCAGAGGCTGGCTCAACATAGAACTGAAAAAAGACAGTAAAGTAACATTAGTCTCAGTGTGCTTTTCTAATAAATCCATGTAGGAAAAGTTTTAAAATTTCAGGGAACAACTGTCAAGCTTATTAAGAGAAAAAAAAAGAAAAGTGAATAAAAGAAAGAAAAAACAATCATATTCATATGGTTTTGAAATATTCTCAAAGACGGACCAAAACAGGCTGCCTCCACCAGGCCTAACTCATCTCCAGCTGAGTTCTACCCCCTGCAGTGGTGGGCTTTTTGGCCCAGCCCAGGACAAAGGTCCCAGGTTGCTGAGAATAATCTAGAACACTTAAGAACTGATAGCTAACTGAGAGGAAAAAGAAAACCAAAAATGGCAATTTGTAAATAACCATAGCACCCAGAGTAAAAACAGAATACTAAATCCGTGCTCTAACGACCACCCTGAATCCCACCACGTGGAGCTATTTCATTTGTTTAATTTGCTAAGATCTCTTTGGAGGAATCCAAGGAGACCGGGAAAACAAAAAAAAAAAAGGAAGAATGAAGTGAAAGCTATTAGCATATGGATATAAGTAAAGCAGATAACTTAATTACATACTAGAAGATAACAAAAACATTTTTTATTAAGATTCTGTAGCATTGAACTTACTAGAGTCTCGACGTATCTTAACATATCAAACGAGTTCAGATCAGAGCGCAGCTGCTTTGCTTTCTCTTTCCCCAAATCAGAAGCCAAAACAAGAAACTGGGCATCTAGGGCTGCTTCTCTTGCTCGGGACACTATTAACAAAAAGGAAAATATACACATTACAAAATACACATTATCATAGTTATTTTCCCTAAATTCCCAACTACTTACTAGGCATTTCCCAATGGACCAAAAAAAAAAAAAACTCTCAATATGCTGAAAACAGATGCATCTGCTGCTAAAAGTGGGCCCCCTACCCAATTCATCAAAATTTCGATTTGAATGAAAGCTGGCTAGCCTTCCTAAAAGACCCTCTCTCTCATTTTCCTACTCCTATTAACTGAACCACAACCTTGTAATAACCCCAGTTTAACCAGACTTCTTTCATCTCTAACACTGGCTTTTCCCTTTGACCCAAAAGCCCATTGTGATACTGTTACCATCTGTGCTGCTGAACTTAAATCGAATGCCCACTGCACATGCGGCACCATGCTTGTCATGGTAGTTTGCTGAACAGAAACAGGTAAGTTGCCAAAGAGCCACAAATGAAATCACGGCTATGGGCCGGGCTTGTGTTCACGAGGTTCACACCACTCCAGGGAGACACAACCACCGCAGCAAAAAACCCGTCACCGTCGAGTCGATTTTGACTCACAGCAACCCTATAGGACAGAGTAGAACTGCCCCATAGGGTTTCCAAGGAGCAGCTGGTAGAGTTGAACTGCCTACCTTTTGGTTAGCAGCCGAGCACTTAACCACCGCACAACCAGGGCTCCTTAACACAAGTAGAGTCCTCTCAGACTTGAGTAGTAACCGCCTCACTTTGAGGGCTTGAAAAACCAATTGCTGGGCCCCACCCTAGACCTTCATGGAAAGCCCTTCTGAGCTGCTCAGCAAATGGTAAGTGCACAAGAAAAGTAGTATTACTGTTTTATGGATTGAATTCTGTCTCCCAAAAATAGGTACTGTAAATCCTAACCTCTATGCCTGTGGTTACAATCCTATTTGGGAATGAGTTTTCTGTCTTACTAAACAAGGCAGGATTAGTGTAGGTGTGCCTTGAGTTAAGCTCTTACTAGAAATAAAAAGAGCAGACTAGGCAACCAGAAACGCGGGATGACAGATGTCAAAGCCACATGGAGGTCTCCAAGGAACCAGGAAACAGAAGCTAAAGAGACCAGGACCTTCCCCCAGAGCCAACAGAGAGAGAAAGCCTTCCCCTAAAGTCAGTGCCCTGAATTAGGGCTTCTAGCCTCCTAAGCTGTGAGGAAATAAATTTGTTTGTTAAAGTCACCCACTTGAAGGATTTCTGTTGTAGCAGCACTAGGTAACTAAGGCAGAATTTGGTACCGGGAGAGTAGGGTGCTGCTCTAACAGATACCTAAAATGTGGAAGCGGCTTTGGAATTGGATGAAGGGTAGAGGCTGGAAGAGCTTTAAGGTGCCTAACAGTAAAAGCCTAGATTGCCTTGAAGAGACTGCTGCTAGAATGTGGAGGTCAAAGGCAATTCTGGTGAGGGCTCAGAAGGAAGTGAGGAGAGCTACAGAGAGTCTCTATTGTCTTAGAGAATACATATGGCGCCAGAAATAGAATGTTGCTAGAAATGTGGACATTATTAAATGTGCTTCTGGAGAGGCTTTAAAAGAAAATGATGAACATGTGATTGGACAATGGAGGAAGGGCGATGCTTTTTATGTAGTGGCAAAGAACTTGTCTGAATTACGTTCAAATGTTTGGTGGAAGGTAGGACTTGTAAGTGATGAACCTGGATATCTGGCTGAGGAGAGTTCTAAGTCAGATCTTAAAGGGGCCATGTGTTTTCTCATTGCCGCTTATAGCAAAATGCCACAGGAAAGAGATGGACTTAAAAATGAGCTGTGACAAACGAAAACTTAAAAATTTGGAAAATTCTGTTGTACAAACTAAGGACACGTGTCCTAGAATGTTCACCCAAGGACATGACTATACAATCTTTTGTTAAAGAGACTAAGCCTGTGACTGATGGATCTAACCAACTACCACAGCAGAAAACCCGTCAGCTTAGACTGAAGGGGACAGAGAAAGAACGAAAGGAATTGGAATTCTACAGGCAGGAAACAGACCAAAGGAGCTATATCTGTCGTCCTCCAAGAAAAGGATAGGACATCCCTGGAACAGCTCAGAGATCGGCAGAACAGTTGGAAGGAACACAGGAGGCAGGGCCTTCTCGGTTTCAAAGGATGGGGCCACAATCCCTGGATCTCAAAGGGTGGGGCCATAGCCTCCTAGGTTTCAAAGAGTCAGATCTGTGCCAACTTGGTTGCCCAAACCCAAGGGAACAGAGTTGCCACCCCAGGGGGCCTAGAAGGCAGAGCTGAAGCCCAGGGCTGAGGGGCCTCCACCCAGAATCCAGAGATCGTGGCCAACACCCAGTGTCTAGAGGGCAGGGCCATTGCCTAGATAGTCCCAAAGAACAGAGGATTATTTTCAAGCCTTGAGCGCTAACAGAAATTGTTCTGCTGATTTTGGACTTGCTTGGTGCCTGTTACCCTTCTTTCCCTCCAATTTCTCCCATTTGTAATGGAAATGTCTACTTTGTGCCAGTTCCACAATTGTACTTTGGAAACAGATAACTTGTAGTCTAGATTTCACAGGGTCACAGATGAAGAGAAATTTTGTTCCAGGATGGGATATGCCTAATATCTCACCCATATTTGATTTAGATGATTGAGAAGATGAGGTTTTGGACTTGGAGTTGACTTAGAACTTTTGGGATGAAATGATGGGGTGAATGTGTTTTGCATGTGGCAAGGATGTGAAGTTTGGGGGGTGGGTGGCAAAGGGTAGAATGTTATGGATTGAATTGTGTCCCCAAAAAATATATACTGGAAATCCTAATCTCTAGGCCTGTGGTTATAATCCCATTTGGGAATGAGTTTTCTGTTATGTTAATAAGGTAGGGTTAGTGTAGGGTGTGTCTTGAGTTAATCTCTTACAAGAAATAAAAAGAGCAGATTAGGCAAGCAGAGATGGGGGACTACAGATGCCAAAGCCACATGGAGATTTCCAAGGAACCAGGAAACAGAAGCTGAAGAGACAAGGACCTTCCCACAGAGCAGACAAAGAAAGCCTTCCCCTAGAGCCGGTGCTCTGAATTAGGACTGCTAGCCTCCTAACCCCGAGAAAATAAATTCCTGTTTGTTAAAGGCAACTACTTGTGGTATTTCTGTTATAGTAGCCCTAGATAACTAAGACACTGTTACAATGAAAAAGTTCAAAAATTGGTAAAGCACTATTATACATGTGGGAATTATTATTCATTTTTGGATGTCAATGACTTGGCTCTTACACACAACTAATCAAAATGATCCTAAATCGTATCATGACAAAAAGCTTCTGTATGAACATGAAATAATAAATTACCTCCATTAAACAGAGTGTCGGCCTCTTCAAGGACCTCTGTTAATTTGTCACCAGCATTCAGTATATCCTCCCGGTTTTCTATTTAAAAAGAGTCAAACTTTGGGAAATTCGCTCATCAGGTGCTAATAAAATCATTGACAGTTATCATCAGCAGTTATGAAATCAAGCCGGTACCCTGCTCCCTGGGAAAGCACTTCAAACATCTTTACTTTTTAACCAAAATGGTACGGGAAGAGAAAGGCGACTCTGCCCTTAAACAACATGAACTTTAAGAGGCAGGCCTGGTTAACCTTCCCCCAAAGGGCCTGCCTTGCGCAGCCTCTGGGGAGTGCTCCCTAGAGCGGTTCTCAAAGTTTGGCAAGCGTCTGAATCACCTGGTGGGCGAGTCAACAGAGCGCCAGGCGCACCTCCCAGAGATTCAGACTATCTGGGTCCGGGGTGGGGTCCGAGAGTTTGCATTTCTGACAGTTCTCAAGGGGCGCGGGATGCAATAAAAAGAACATGTGCCCGCGTCCTGCACTCCCCCTAGGACTAGCTGCCCGGGCTCAGGAGAGTCACCGGACGGGTTTGGCCTCCAGCTTTGCCATTCTGCAATTCGGGGACCTGCTGTGTCTCCCCGCAAGGTCGTGATGGGGTCCCAAGGACAAAACAAATGCGGGCGCACTTTGTAAACAAACAAAGGCGCGGCCCGAATGCGAGGGCTGTCACCAAGTGCGAATTACAAGAATAAAAAGTAACCAGCTTCGCCGCGCGGGCCGGGGGCCTTCCCGCTGGGCGCACGGGGACCGCTTGGCCCGCGCCCCTTACGTTGGACGGAGTTGATGAGCGCCCGGTACTGGTGGCGGATCTGGCGGCACAGGCCGTGGTCGGTCTCCGCCTCCAGGCTCGCCGGGTCCAAGCCCTCGTCCCCCGAGTCCGACGGCTCCTCCTCGTCCAGGCTCGGGCGCTCCAGGGCCTCCCTACGCTCGGGCGCGGCGCCGCGGCGGGCTCCCGGCGACAGCGGCGACCGCGAGCGAGAGCGGGTGCGGTCCCCGTGCGCATCGCGGTCGCGGTCCCGGCCACGGCCTCGGCCCTCGGACCGGCGGCCTCTGCTGTCCCCGGACATCGCGCCAGTGCTCCGTGCAACTTCGGAACGGCGGAAGTTCGCGCCAGAAACTGAAACCCCTGCTTTGCGCGCGCCGGCCTCCCGCGAAACCAGCCCGGGCGGCGCGAGCGCACAGCGACGCCTGTGGCCGGAGGCCGGCGAAGAGGCGCGTCCAGATCCTGAAGAGCGTACGGGGCTCGAGTGCCTCCTGGCTGCTGGGACCAGGCATGGGCCAAGTGCCCCCAGGCCCCTGACATTGGGAACGGTAAGATCCTGTTGGTGATCCGTGATGGGCTGAGTGCCCTTAGGCCCATGACAATGGGGACACTAAGATCCTGCTGAGGGCCAGTGATGGGCTGAGTGCCCCTAAGCCCCTGACATGGGGGAACAGTAAGATCCCGCTGGGGGCCGGGCATGGGCTGAGTATCCCTTAGGTCCCTGAAGAGGGACCTGTTTGCTCCCATGACATTAGGGACAGTCAGAGCCAGCTACTACAACACTTACCCCACATTTTAGGATCTTGGTGTTCTGGTCCTCCACGCCCACCTCACTAGGCCTTCTTCATCTTCCCGAGGTCTCTGGCTCCCCAGGACACAGCCACAGCCTGGCAACGCCATGGGCCCGCAGCCCTGGTTTCCTGAGCTTGGTCCTTGTAGTTGAATGGGATGAGCTCTGGACTTGAGAAGGAACGCTTCGTTCTGCCACTCACTCCGTGTGACCTTGGACTAGTGGATTAGTTTCTCTGAGCCACCTTGAGGGTATAAAAGGGGGTTTATGGACAGCTGGCGATACCACGCTTGTTAGGGGCAGAAGAACAAGGAAAAAACAATTAGCATGGTTCCTTGACTTCCTCATAGTGAGCTCTCTGTTAATCATTTCTACATTTCTACTGCAGAATGGCAGTTTATGTTAATAATTGATTCTCAAACGAAAAGATTCTAAATTATCTTCTAGAGGGTTCAAGAAAGATGGGATTATATTCAGAATAATTTCAAAGATAAATGTATTGTGAATTTCATTGCATATATTTTGGATTGTACTGCAGATATTTCCCAAAATTTCCCTTTGGTGCTGAGAACACATTTTATTTTCTCAAAGAGAAATCTTATAAAATGGGTTACTACACAAGCCTACAAAAATCTCATTTTGTGCATTGTGTATAATAAGCTTGAGGCAGGCACTATTATAGTTTGCTCAACAGCTGATACCTCACACCCAACCCCTACTTGCCTGGATTTCACAGAAGATAGGTTCTTGTGCCTGCTTCATTGGATGAAGCATGACTGGTCTAAACGGTCATGGTAACCTCATTCCCTCTCCCCAGTGACTAGTTTGAGGATAGCACGTAATCCAGTTGTGGCCAGTGAGGTGTAAGGAGGCTTCCCATTTGGAAGAAAGACAAAGGCTGTAGAAAAGAAAGCCCTTGTCCCCAGCCTTGCTCATTCCTTCAGATGCTGGCATGAAGACCTGGTGCCTGGCGTGATGGCAGCCATCTACAGATGATGAGGTGGCAAGCATGAGGGAAGACCAGAATGCTGGAGACAGTGGAGAGGAAGGATAGCCATGACTGAGTTGCTGAATGAACTTGAGAACTGCCTACCTTCAGACTCCTTATGAAGTAAGCAATAAATATGCTTGTGGTTTAAGCCTTTGTTTGTTTGTTTTGTTTTGTAGCTGTTACTTGCAGCCCAATATGTTGTAACAAAAACAAATCTAGGTGAAGATTCATTCCAAGCTCCAGAACAAAACACCTGGAACGTTTTGTTCAATCCAACAAGCTTTTGATGTGTACCAATGGGCCAGACACCCTACAAAGAGCAGCAAGACACAAAGATGGCTCAGATACTTGCCTTTGCCCTGTAGGAGAAAGGCATGAAAAGAGGTTAATGACACCAACTGTGGGAGTACAGTGGAGAATATAAGGTCCAAGGTAGGGCAGGAGGTTTTCCTTCCCCTTCTTTTGACGTTGGGCCACAGTTCAAGACAACTGTGATGCGCCTTACAGAGAAAATACGTACGTTAGATAACTTTCATTCAGGCATGAATCATATCCTGTTGGCCGTGGGTTGAATGCTAATGAATCAGCAATACAGTACATCCAGAAAAAGGAAGAGGCTACTCTGGAAGGTGCTAAAGTAAAACCTACGGTGTGGGATGAAGCTATGGAAAGGATGGAAAAGTGTCTAAAATTTTTGATTTATTAAATGATGACTGATTTAAAAAAAAAAAAAGGGGGGAGTGGACAGCACTGTTGTGAGGATAAAAGCCAAAGAAATTGATGGCTACGTTTCCCAGAGTCAGGAAAATGTCAGACCCTTCTTGGCTAGTGTTTTATTACAGAGAAATGCTTCACGTAGTTATGTATTAGAAATACATATTAAGTTGTTGTTGTTAGGTGCTGATTTAGGAAATAATATTGGAGTTATTATTCCCTATCCTCTAGCATAGAGAATGTGACCCAGGTGGAGCTGGGCTCACAAGGACACATCAGCTGGGCCCTGAGGTATAAAGACAATAGCTAAGATAATCTTGGAAAACGTCTTGTAGGGAAACTTTCACATAAAGCCAATCAAAGAGAACACAAAAGAGTTTCCACTCTTACCTTTTTCTGTTAGCATTTAGTGAATAGAAATTTGTTGGACCAATGAAGACCCTCCGACTGTCCTTACTGAAACCTGTACCAATGATTGTTAAGAAAGATGATTCAAAATGTAGGATCACAGTTTCTAGCCAGTCTGTGAAAAGGTGAAGCTTTCAATGGTTTTGCCCATTTGTAATGTTAGTATATACTGATGGCTCTGTAACTGTTCTTTGGACTCGGGCAGACATGGTTGTGGCAGCGTGCTTGTCTGTTTTCCCATTCTTGCCTATTCTGTAATATTCTTTGAACTTGGGCAGACTTGGGTCTGGCAGCATGGTTGTCCGCTTCCCACGTTTGCCTTTTTGAATATATGCTGAATAAAACTTCTCTTTTGCTTTACTCAGCGTTGTGATGTTTTTCCCCTACAACAGTGCCATTGAATTGGTTGACTCACAGCAACCCTATGTACAACAGAACGAAACACTGCCCGGTCCTGCGCCATCCTCACGGTCGTTTTGCTTGAGCCCATTGTTGCAGCCACTGTGTCAATTCATCTCATTGAGGGTCTTCCTCTTTTTCAATGACCCTCTCCTTTACCAAGCATGATGATTTTCTCCAGGGACTGATTAAGTAAGGTGTCTTTAAATGTAAGCACACGTAAAACAAGGTTGTGTATTGATCAGTTGTAAGCACACATAAAACAAGGTTGTGTATGGATCAGTTGATGAAAAGGTTGTGACCAGAGGCTTGCAAGAAACTAACTTTGTCTTTCCTGGAAGCAATGGCTCAGTCTTTGCTAATTCAGTGTTTGAGGCCACTTTCGAGGACATAACAACCGCGAATAATGAGACTCGACTGTATTTTTTTTTTTGCCAGCTAGAAACCACTTCAGTTACAGAACTTTCCCTGGCCGTCTGCTGTATTTTTTGTAAATGCTACGTATTACTATGACTATCAGCTCTTCTTCATAAAAATAGGGAAATGCCTGTGGGGTGGGGGTTAACAATTGGTAACTGGGTCTTTCTCTATAGGGTGATTCTCAAATTTGAAAATCAATAAGCAGTGTTTATGTTATTGGGTTTCTGTAAATATTATTTAATGCAGGACTAGTGATCAATAGGAAACCCTGGTGGCATAGTGGTTAAGTGCTATGGCTGCTAACCAAAAGATGGGTAGTTCCAGTCTACCAGGCACTCCTCGGAAACTCTATAGAGGAGTTCTACTCTGTCCTGTAGAGTCACCATGAGACAGCAATGGGTTTGGTTTTTGGTTTTAGTGATCAGTATGACTACTGATTACATTTTCTTTCTTATACTTTTGTTTTCCCCTGTAGTTTCTTTTTCTGAAATGTAAATTAGGAGATAATGGTTTGTTGACTACCCTTTTCTAGGAGGATAAGACAAATTTACTGCTATAGAGCAGTTTCTGGCAGGCTTTTGCAGTTTGGGTCAGGTTTTTTATGATTAATATTTGTTTTCATGCATAAGAAAAACCTTAAAATCAAAGTAATATGTCTGTTATTAATTTTCCTCTTTAATAGATGGAGGCAATTTTTTGAATCTGAAAATGTTTTTATTGTACATTTGGTTGATGATTTGGTTGAATATAGAACTCTAAGTTGAAAATAACTTTTCATCAGTGATTGAAAGGTGTTCCATTGTCTGTTTGAAAAATATGATTCAACAGTCACTCAACAAACATTCATTAAGCACCTATGGAATCTCTGGGTGATGTAAACAGTTAATGTGCTTGGCCACTAAAGGAGAGGTTAGAGGTTCGAGTCCACCTAGAGGCATTTCAGAAGAAAGACTTGGCAATCTTCTTCCAAAAATCAGCCACTGAAAACCCTATGTAGCACAGTTCTACTCTGACAAACGTGGGGCTGTATGAGTCAGAACTGACTCAACAGCAATTGGTTTGTTTTTTGTATATTCCAGATACAGCACTACTCTAGACCCTGGAGACACAATGGTGAATAAAACATAGTCCCTATTCTCACGGAGAAGACAAATAATAAAAGGGAAAACAAAAACAAGAGTTGATAATGTTAAGTGCTACGAAGAATATAGAGTAAGGGGTCCAGATGCTGACTGAGGGCTGCTATTTTAGATATAATGGGCAGGGACACCTTCTCTGAGGAGGGGACATTTGAGCTGAGACTTGAATTGTGAGAAGTAATGAGTCATGCAAAGACATGAGGGAAAACGTGTTCCTGTCAGAGGCAATAGCAAAGGGAAGTTTTGGAAATTAAAACGAGTCTGGTACATTCAAGAAACTTCAGGAAGGCACATGTGGCTAGAATGTGGCAAGTGAGGGGGAGAATGCTGAAAAATGAGTTTGGCTCAGATTCTCATTACTTCATAGGTGACCTCCTCCACCTCCCCTCCTCCCCCCCGGAAGCATTTAGGATTTGTGGCGGATTAAAGATGGCTCCAAATTC